TTTTTTTACTTACTAATGGACCTTTAAAACGTGAGACATAGTCCAAAAACACGAAATTCGCAAAAAATCTTTTGAGAAAAATAGTTCGTTTTGTTTTTTGTCTCTTCTCTCGTTTCGCTCTTTTCTGTTATTTTTTTTCAGAACTTAAAACACTCGATAAACTTTCTCATTCTTTCCCGTACTCATGTTGCAAACCGATTTTCTAATTTATTAGTTTAGGAGTGAGAAAAATCGCGTTAAAGGCTCCTACCTGGTGGAAGATTGCGTCGTTTCCAGTAGAAATTGTGGAAGAGGATGAGGACGAAAGCCGAGACAAACAGAAGGAAAATCATCGGAGCAGCTCCAGAATTTTGTTGAAAAATAAGAAAGAACTGAGAACTGCGACACTCTTGTCGACGGAGAGACAGCAGACAGTCAGAGGGACGACGAAAGACTCGGAAAAAAGGTCTGGTTAGGCAGAGAAAGTAAATAGGATGCTTGATTAGGCTCTCACTCTCGTAGGGATGAAAGATCATTGAAACAAGGCTGGAGCAGAGAACACGGCGAAAAAAAAAAGAATTAATTGGCTGATTTAAACGCACAAATTGGATGTTTTGTCTCGAATGGCGGCTTCTAATGAGGTTCGTCTTTTTGGGGAAAAGGTGCATCAAATGACGCTCTAGGTTTTCTGCTGCAAGTCTAAAATGAAGATCAAAAAGTATAAAAAAAAAAGAACCGAATCATATAATAAATCTCGTCATTTATATAAGAAAATGGCCATTTTATAATTGAAAACATTCGTTAATTTCTAGACTTGGCGATTTTTTTATGACGTTCAAGAGACTTTATGATGAATTTCAATTAAAAATTCCAACAATACTCGAAATTACTATGTTTTAATACGTTTTTCGATAATCTTCCCATTATCACAAGGAGAAACCGTCGCTAGATACTGGCCGATCGCCGCGCGGATCGCAATCGCTTGGGGGTATAGCTCAGTGGCAGAGCATTCGACTGCAGATCGAGAGGTCCCCGGTTCAACTCCGGGTGCCCCCTACTTCCTTTTGCCATTTTTCTTTGCTTCAGTTTGTGTTGGAAATCGTGAACCGATCAATTTATTTGAAAAATTTGTTGAAAATGTCAATGTAGACAGCTCGAGGCACTTGTAAATGGTCTCCATCGACAGCGAGGAAGTGCAAACGACCACTTTCGTTCAGTTTTTTGATTCCAATCCGGTCCTGGAACGGATATTAATTAGTATTTCAAGATTTACTGGAAAACCTCCGAGTAGAGACGAGTCTCATTCATTTGTAAAATCGTATCTTCATCTCCAGGCTTGTAGAATCCAAACCACTGAAAAACGCGAGAATTTCGTCAGGAAAAAAGATAAATATTTAACCGCAGACTCTTTGGGGACGACCATCGAGTCTCTCTTGAACAAGACAAGCACAAAGTTTTTCAGTTTCAACAAGTTTTGCTTGTAGGTCGCGTTGATCTCCTTGAAGTGTTGTTTTTAAAGGAAAGGAATTTTGAGAAAACCCTCTCATTATTGATATCAGCCAAGAAAATGCTTTTCTTTTTGTACTCCTCCTCGGCGTAGGGATCGTGCCAGTACTGAGCTTGTACTACTCTGGAAAAAAATGAGCATAAATTCTAGATTTTTTTTTTTATTTTACTTCCGTAACTTCTTAGAATTTAAACCTGCCAATGGAAAAATAATAAATTTCCAGCATTCTTAGTAATGGAATCTGAAGCAGGTGCTACGAGAATTCCAATGAATTTATTTTTCTACCAAAAAAACAACTTCAAAAGCTTTCAAGGGACCTTACCAATTTCTTTGAGAACAAATCTTGGAAGGAAAAATCTTTTTTAAAACCTTCAAAACGGATAAAACTGGAAAATAAAAATAATCCAACGAAATTAGGTTTCTTTTACAATTTTTAATTATAATGTGATTGAGGGGAGAATGATTTTCAATAGTTGGAACTCAATAAAAAGTCCTTACAAGCCTTAAAGCTTGAAAAAAACTTGCGAATATCACGAAACGTCAAAAAAAGTTACGTCAAGGCCTGGTTATTTCTCGGTGGAGGTTAATTATAGGAGGTTAATTATAAGAAAAAAAGTGAGAATCCAGCTTTTTTTATCTTTTTTTGGAGTCTCAAGTACTAAAATAAGGTATAACTTTTTTTTCAGGAATATTTAGCTCCCTGGTGAAAAACTAGGGATTAGGTATCTTTATTCCGGTCAGAAATAAACTGTTAGCCAAGATTTTTCAGTATTGAGCTGTTTTCGAAGTTTTCTTCATTGATAAACTTATTTTGGCAAACAAAAAATAAATGTTTCTCTCACTTGTCCTGAACATAAGAGGTATAAGCTCCAAGATCCAATAGCTTCCGAATCGAGTTACAAACGAAGGTGTCGCCAGGACAGTAGGGCATTCCGAAAACTCCTTGTTGCTGGCCGCCGACTGCAAAATTATTTGTTTTTAACAAGTTTAACATTTTTCGAATTGAATGTGTCATTGAAAGTTTTTTTAAATGATAAGCAAGTTAATTTTTTTCTAATTTTTTTATTCGAGTTTATTTTTCAGATAAAAAGGCGTTCAATTTGGAATTTTTCCCGAAGTTGCTTTTTTTCTCAGTATCAGTGATATTTTCCTGGTCAAGCACGGCTATCCGCAGAGAAAGCTGTTTTTTAAATGTTTTCTGGAAAAAAAAAAAGCTTGTGTCCGATATTCTTCTGTCCTTTTAAAAACAGTTAAGCTGTAGAATTCCTTTTTTTTGTAGAAAGCTTTTTTTGACTCGGAATATATACGAAAGTATAAAAAGCAGCATGAAAATCTATTTTTTTCAGAAATCTTCCTCAATTCTGTTGCGAGACCTCCATAACATCGTTCCATGCTCTTTTGAAACTTCCAGAAAAAATTTCCAAAAAACTATGAATAAAAAAACCTGAGATCAAGTTTTTCATCGGCGGGTCCGGACAGCGTTGCGCCACCGCACGTCTAAACTTTTTTTTCTTCTTATCAAAAAAAAAAAAATATTTGAAGCTTACAAAAACTGTCCACCCTGAGAGAATCCCATCGCGTTGTAGCCTTGAGCCAAATTCGGATCTTCTTTTATGTGCTTGCAAGCCAACGCCACCATTTCGTTCATATTGGCGAAGAAACCTCTTTCCGTGTCCTGAAGGTAGTTTTTATTTATTTTTGGAGTTTTGAAACTGTTTTGGGGGACATTTTGAGGTTAGAGAATTTACAGAAGCTCTTGGATTTTGAGGGAGGTCTTTGAAGTCTAAGAGAGTTTGACGTTTTTCGAATACTTCCTTCGGGTTGAATATAAACCGTGGTCGCACTTGGAATGGCTCAAAATGTTGTGGTTATACCCGTTTCGGGACTTCTCTGCGCCCTCCTTATTTCTCGACGTCTCTCTCATGTTAACGTGCTGTTTCCATGTTTCTCTGACCTCGTTGGTGAGAGAATAGAGAGACGCAGAAACGCGAAAACTGTCAAGTCGTGGCGGACGGACTATAAGCTAGTTCTAATGATTCATGAGGCTATCTTGCGTCGTTTTGAGTCGGGCGCGTTTCAAATAACCACTCCGCAGATGAGCCATTAATCGTGCGACGTTATGAAGTTTCATTCCGACTTGAGATTTTTTGAAGAGAACGTTTTTGATGATTCCAAAACGAATCATCTCACCGATGCGATATTCTCTCCGAGCTTCAGACTGTGAACATGAATTCCCGGGATCTGCTCCTCCAATAGTCGTATCATTGAGCCCATCGACATGGGATTACAGCAACAATCTCCTGAAAACTATTTTCCGTTTCACATACAAACTGCACCAACCAAGGAAGACAGATTACTGACCAGAGAATGGTCTCACTATCAGCTCACAGTGGGAACTTCTGAATGAGACCACGTTTTCTCGATGTAGTTTTTAATGCCGATTCCAAATCCGGTTTCAAAAGCTGCCACCGAGGCATGTGAAAAAAGTTATGGACCCTCGAAAGTCGAAAATTCGCAATAGGACACAGCGCTCGCATGCTCATGTGTTTGGCGGGGCTTTGAAAGATCATATCTAGACCCACAAATATTTTTTGGAAAGACTAAACAGGTTCTCGTGATCACAGGGACAAGATCTATATACCCTCCAAAAATGAGCTCGATCGAAGACTATGAGTTTTTCGACTTTTGAGGGTCCATAACTTTTTTCACAGACGAATATGGCGGCTTTTAAGACAGGATTTGGAACCAGCATAAAAAACTACAACTAGACAACGTGGTCTCATTCAGAAGTCTCACTGTGAGCTGAGACCATTCCCTGGTGAGAAAGTTGGAAAAAAAAACCCACCCATTCCATGCCACAAAACGACGGGAACTGGCATCGCGCCGGTCCTCCTGTGATGATGTTTGACATGGTGGTCCCAATTTTCATTGTACCGATGACTTCTTCGATGTTTCCGGCTGCTGTGGCTCAAGGAGACTAGGCAAATCAGGAAAAGCAGGACTATTTTCATTTTGGGAAAATGGGGAGCTGAGCAAAACAATCGGCTGGTGTCCAATCGACCCTTAAAAAATGATAAGATAAGGACAAGGGCAGAGGGACAGTTTCCTCGGCTTTTAACTGGAACCGATCAGTTTTTAAAATAATAAAAACAAGGAAACAAAATAGTTTGTTGGATTTGCCCCGTTAGAACCTTTTCTTTGAGAAATAAGCTTGAAGATGGCTTTTCAAACAATTTTCATAAGAAATCATGTAAAAAAATTGTTCCATTTTTCTCCAGAATCCTTCGAAAAGCTGAAAAATGTCCCCCAAAAAAATCTTTTTGAAAAAAATATTTTTTTAGGGAGTTTGTGAAATTCATATCGTCACAAAGAAATTCCGGTCGGATTCAATAATTTTTTTACACTACAATCCTTTAAAATATAGACTACAAACTCAAGCAAGACCATTGAGTCCACTAAAAACACTAAAAATCCCTGATTTGTTGCAAAAAGATTCTCGTTCTTCGAACTTTTTTCTGTCACTTACAAATCTGTCAACGCCAGAAACAATGTGATACATTTTTTCATGCATTTCTACGTTTGTTTATGATTTCCCTTTATTTATAGTTTGAATAATATCAGTTTGTAGTTGTTATTCGTAACGTAAAGGTTCCGAGAAAAAAACTTCTGTCTTTCTAGTTATTTTCCGGGAAAAGAATAGCCTCAGATTTGGTTTTATTTATTACCTGAAAAAAAATATTTTTTTATTCATTTTTTTGAACTTTTTTTCTAATAAAAAAAATAGTTTTTTTGAAAAAAATGGTCTAGTTACTCTAGAACCCAATTTATCCGTAGAGCGAACATTCTTCGAATCAAAAAAAGGCTTCATTTTTCCCGTTGTGAGTTTTTTTCAAAAGTTAACTGTCTCACGTACACCTAGCGTGATTAGAAGCCTTTTTTTCCAATTACCTGATAGAAAAGGCCTTATTATCCATGGAGCGCACTTGCTCCATCTTCAAACGGCTATTTTTTCAGATCTATTCTTTGATGTTGTTGATAACCTCTCATAGGATTTTATTTATCAAATCAAAAATAAAACTTCCAAAAATCTTTTTCAACTAATTTATAGAAAAAGTTGCACCGGGAGGTGCAAGGAATCCCTCTAGCCGCGTGTTAAATGATGCTAATTGCCCCGCAACTCTGCCGCGGTCGTTTTTCTGCGCCTTCTCTTCATCTTTTTGCGCCTTTTATATCCCTGTTCAAGAATCTTCCCTTTTCAAAGCTTTTTGTCTTTTTATCACGTGGCCATCAGCCCTCCAAAAAATAAGTCTTCCCGACATTTTTGCCTTGTTTTGCAAGCTTTCTTTTTGTTTTTACTCCAGTAGACTTTGATTTTCGATTTTCACTAATACAAAACAAGTTTGTTATTGGCCAAGTGATAATAAAGCCTTATTGCAAACAAAAAGTAGTAGGAAAATTGAATGACACATGCGTAAAGTTATTGGATTAGGGGGGAACTCAATAATTTGTGATATTATAGTTGTTGCAAGGCTTAACTTCATTGCGTGTGTGGTCTTTATTTTTTTTTGATTTTGAACTTTGAAGATTATTTTTTTCGAAGTTCAAAAAAAGAAAAACTCAACTGATGACGCGAAAATATTTTTAGAAAACTAATAGAAAAGATCGAAACTGATTAATGACGTAAAAGAAGCAAATAAGAGAATAATTGGTAAGGAAGTAAAGTTCAAGAGAACTTTCTCAAACGTCTAAGACCTTATTATTTCCTATCTTTTATATTTCTAAGAAGAAGACGTGGTTTATGACGTAAAAGAGAAGAAATGTGAACTGAAGTGAAGATTGACGAAGATCTGTGAAGCTTTTTTGTATGTAAAATGTTTCGTTTTGCCATTTTTTCGACGTTTTCATGAAAAATAGATACAATTATCAAATTCAAAGGTAATTAACGAACTTCTAATGGAAAGAGGACGCTAGACGTCTCAAAATGATTCATTTTATCAGTTTTTGATGGTTTTCTATGTCTTTTTGGCGTCTTTTTCGAAGTTTTCATAGATTGATACTGTCAGGATCTCCTCCAGCTCAACAAAAAGCATTCTGAACAACTTCCAAAAATTTCCAGAAAAAAGTAAAATCACCTCCATGTGAGGAAGTTCCCATCCAAATCCATTCCTTTCCTAGAATCGCTCTATTTTCGCCAAGAGACAAGAAAAAGCCCATTTTGTACCCGGAATTCAGAAGAATCATATGTTGGAGTGAGGAAAGCTCTAATCCCGCCTGCAGCTTATCTCCTTATCAGGTAAAAAAAAATAGACAACGATCTAGTTGCCCCGGGAAACGGCTGTCGTTCCCATCCGATATTTTCAGGCTTTTTTGCACTGATTCCTGTCAAATTTTGTCTCTTTGAAGCTTCATTTTATGTGGCTTTTCAGTTGAATTATTTTTTTCCAATTAGGAGCTTGTTTTGATAAGAAAATCGATGAAAAGTGAAGCATTTTGAGGGTTAAATTGATCATTTTTTGTCACTTTTTCACTGGTTCCTGCCGCTTTTTGTCTATTTTCAACTTTTTTTTTCAATATCGTTGTTTTTTTTTTCATAATTTGTTGGAACATCGCTCAAATTGACTTGATTTATGGTAGTTTACTTGACATTTTTTGAAGATTTGATGTTTTTTCTCACTTTTTAAATGCCCTTCCTCCAAAATAAAGGAAAAGCTGATTTCTGTGAATTTTTACCCTGTGAAATTCATTTATCAGTTTTATTTCCAATTCAAATTAGTCTTAAAATGATTAAAATTGGTCTTTCAATAAGCTTTTTTTCCTAAGGAATCGAGAAAAAAAATGGCTGATTACAAAAAAATTCAAAACTTCGAATTTTTTTATAAACCGTTTCGCTTCGTTTTTTTCCATAGTAAAACCTACAATAATTCATAAAAAAATTTCGGTTGACCTTTTTCAAAAAAAAGATCGAGAAAATAAAATTACTGGAAAACAAAAAAATTCGAAAACAAAAAGAAACAAAAAAATAGTTCCAGGTTCTCGGCCTACTTTTTATATAGAAAATATTTGAATAAATCCTCTTCTTTCTTCAAAGGAAACCGCCACGCGCGTCGGCAACGCAATGCAGGAACCTTCGCTGCAACTTCTAATTCTTTTATTCAATTGCCCTGGGAAGACAGAAATATAAATGCCGTCCGCCGGTTCATTTTTCTCACTCGTCCTGCCCAATGCACTTTAGTTTTTTCCCCCTCTCATCTTCCGTTCGGCTTCGTTGGCGAGTTTCAATAATAAATTCATCCCTTCAAATTGAGCAAAAAAGGGTATTTTTTCATGCCAAATACTCACGTGGGAATCTTCTTTTTTTGAAGCTTAATGGTGTTATTTTTGATTATAGTTTTCAATCTATTATCTTGAAATGGCTTCTGAAATCTTTCGGTTTGAACACTGCAATTAGCTTCGCTCACTTCTTATATCTTTTCGATCAGGAACTTTTTTAAAAAAGAAAAAATGGAAGGATTGCAGCATTTTTTCGAAATAGAATTTTTTCCGGCTTTCCCATTTTTTTTTTTTTCTTTTCTCAAGCTTCTTACAACATGCGATTATCTACGCAGATACAGAAAATAGGGGGGCTTTGCAAAATTTTGAGCAAATCACAGGAAAATCTGACGTATGCAATGGGTGCGCGGTTTTGGGAGCCAACTTCTTGTGTGGAATTAGGCGAAAAAATTTTCATTTCTGAAAAATACTTTTTCTTTTCGATTTCATATTGTTCATTGCTTGATTCCTGTTCATTTGTAGAGAAAAACTAAAGAAAAGTCAATTTAATTCAATGTTATACCCATTTGCTTATCACTTTTCTCCCAATGTGTAGAAATAAACAAAAAATACCTTTCCTTGAACTGTTTTATTACAATAAAAATCGTTCATTGCTTTTTTTCCACGATTTTTTTATTTTTGTTTCATTTTAATCGATAAAAATAAAATTTTCACGGGTAAAATTTCAGATCCCCTCATTAACCATGTGATATGATCGGTGGCTGTCAAGGCGAAGGCTACTTGATCATCAAAATATTCTTTATTCTGCGATTTGGAATCGGTTCGACCGCCTATCTTGATCCTGGCAAGTACTACGAAGAACACGTCGTTCGAGAATGGATTGATGGACGGTTTTACGGACTCGTCCAGGAGGAAAATGTAGAATAATTTTGTTTTTTTGTCGAGAAATAAGAAGGGAAACAAGAGTTTTTGAGATCATAGGCAAAGTTGGAAGGCTCGATAAAGGAACTCTTTTTGCAGCCTTTTCGCAGCCTTTTTGAGGCCGTTTTTGAGCCTCTCCAAAGTTTTTAGTTTTATTAAATATTTTCCAGGAGTCGATTGCAAATCACCGCTTACAAGATTTCTTCGGTACCTGCGATTTTAAAGGTTTACCAATTAAAAAATGTCTTTCCTTGCAAATTTTCAATCATTTTAGAATCTCTTAGACCCCAAAAATTATGTCCAGGAACCTTGTTGGAGACGTCCGAGTTCTGCAAAGAGTACACGGTAGATTTCAGGATTTCTTTAAAAAAATAATATTAATTTGTTTTTCAGTCATATTGGACAGACCAATTTCACTCCTTGGTTTGGTGTCGAAGAAGGTGAGAATGAAAAACGACAATAAAGATAATTTTTTTTTGAGAAACTTGTCATTGTGATTGCAATGATGGAAATCGCCGTTTTCCTGGCTGCGATTGTGAGAATAATTATAGTGAGTTTGATTTTTCGAAGTTAAGTATGATTGGAATGAAAATTCGATGTTTAATACCGGAAAAATCTATTTTTGAACATTTTTTAGTCCCTTATTGAAGGCGCAGGGCGGGGCTTGAAAATAATCGTTTTTGAACCTGAAACTATCATGTAAATTCAGCATCGGGAGTTAATGAAAGTACTCTCTTTAGAAACGCCTGAGTACTCCCTAGAGGAGAAACCTTAAGGGAACTTGAAGGTTCCCCTTTAGGGGCCACTTTTAATTGCCCTATAGGGGACACTAAAACTCACAGAAGTGGGTAGGATTTGTCGAAAACAAAACTACATTTTTCTAGGAACCTGCGTCTTCAACGGGTCCTGCGACGAATGGCCTACGGTGTCCAAAGGGAATGATACATTCATGTTTCATCACTTCGACATGACCGCAGTGATGCCAAATGTCAAGTTTGGCGTGTTTTGTGAGAATTTTTTCAAGAAAAAAAAATTGAAAAAAAATATTTTTCAGCATATTTTGTTCGGGCCTATTCAACCACGTACCTTTCCAACAGGGCGACGACTTTTAGTAGCAAATATTTCGAGTATAGCGGCTTGGGTGTGAGTTTGAAGGGGGAAAATAGCTGAATTTTATCATTTAAATTTTTTAAAAGTGTTCAGGGTCAAAGTTAATTTTGATTTTTGACAGAATACGCCAGAATGGTCCTCAGAGGGGCAACTTTAGGGCTTCTTGAAGGCCTCTCTAGGGACTGCTTTAAATAGTATTATAGGGCGCATACTGAGGCTTGCAAAAAGGGCTCCCTTAAGGGGTATCCGTTAGTGTCGATTATTTCATGCGAAAAGGTCAATAATTTAACGTTTTTTTAATGAAAAAATATCAGCAGATCGATAAAGTTTGTCTGGTTTGAACTGAAAGGCCCCTATAGGGACCACTTGAGCTTTAGGGAGGCCCTCTTTAGGGGCCACTTAAACTTTACCCCTATGCCGAGCACTTTTTTGTCCCCTATATTTTTTGGCCAAGCCCCATAGGGACCACTTTCTTCCTTTTTTCCCCAAAAATAGTGGAGATGAGGCGAATTTTAGTGCTTCCCACCTTTGGGAAAAATTAATTGTGAGGTCGAAAATCTGAAACAAGCTTCTATGTTACCGATTTTTGAACAATTGCCTATAGTCTGTTCAAATTTTAAATGTCGTTCTGACTCAAGCTCCGCCCCTTTTGGCACAATAAACCAATAAGAGAGCGAGCCATCCACAGAGCCTTTTTGAATGACGTCATTCTACTTGACATTCAAAATTTGAACGGACAATCGTCAAAGTTTTTTTTTCGGATTTTCATGTATCATTAAAAATTATTAAATGCCTGTAAATCCATTTTTTTTCTACTATTCCAGTGCAAAATCGCGTTCCGTTTTCTTCTCGTCAAGCAGACCTTTTCAACCAAAATCTCTCTGACCCTGACTCAAGATGAAGGTATTTGAAAAAAGGAACTTTTCTCTTGAAGTCCCTCTCAGAAACTTCGGCCCTCTGGAGTTTCGGCGATTCGAACGACGTCTGGATGGACCAGGAGGTCTACATCGGAGCTCATGAAACGCCGTTTCGACTCAATTTTTTGTGTGAAAGTGGTCGGAAACCGAAAGTGAAGCGGAAAGAAACGAACAATTCCGTCGTGGAATGCGCCGTCACTGCGATTCACTTCAGTGGCTGTGATGGTCGGTCTTGGAAAATAAAATTAAGTTCTCGTGAAAAAAATGACTACATATGAACTCCAGAGTAGTCCCTATAGGGGTAACCTTAGAGACCCTTGAAAGGTCCCCTCCAGCGACCACTTTACCAACCACTGTAGAGGTCACTAAAGCTTGCAAAAGTGGTCCCTATAGGGGACATCGATAAATTGTATGGGCCTATGCGGAGAAACATTTCCAGGGAAAAATAGAATAAATATGACCCCTATGGGGACCACTCAAGCTTTAGGCGCCAAGGAGTCAGAATTTAAACCCCTATAGGGACCCCGTTGATTTCACCCCCATAGGGACCACTTTTTCGGCCTTTCCAAACCCCCCCCCTTAAAGGAAGTTTCTATTCACATGACGCTTTGAAGTTCTAAGCGTTTGAACTTTTTCTATGACCAATCTCCCACTGAAAAAAAAACTGAAAGAACCAAATAACTCCACTCAAAATTATCAGCTTCTTTCCCGAGCGTAATTGTACGTAATCTCGTGCTTTTTTCCCAAGAGTCTGGCGAAAAAGCTGAAAATAACGGCCACGAGGCTACATAATACAACCTTTGTCATGATCGTTATTCCCAAAAAGTGTAGTCAATGAGAAAAAAAAACGGAAAAGCTTTTTTCTAGTTGACTACAACTCGGTGAAGTACTGTTCGACGGGGGAAATGTTCGTTTGCGATGGTTTGAAGCGCAAAAAATGCGTCAAAGATGCGGAGTGTGACTTGAAGTTCGACTGTGATGACGGGTCGGATGAGTGGGGATGTGGTGAGTTTCGATAAAAGAAGGTTTCCGAAAAGTTTGAATATTAAAACATTGAAATTCCTTCTCTATTTAATGGCCACTTCAGTAGTTTCTCATCCAGCATTCCTTCCAGTAACTCTGATAATTTAAAAAAAAAAAACAGACTGGACGAGTTATGTTGATCCATTGACCCCTAAAGTGGCCACAAAAATTTTTAGTGGTCTAGTAGTAGCACTTAGACCTCTATAGTGGCCACTAACTTTTAACCCCTTAAGTGGCCACTAATTCGACAACTTTAGTGGTCACTAAAACGTCAAAACCCTATGGTGACCCCTAAAAAATTTTCAAAGCTGTATACAAAATTCCTTAACTTTCCAAGGGTTACATTTTCTCAAAATCTCGCAGTTTTCAACGGTTTTGATGATATTTTTTGGAATCTCTGCGAAAATCTTTTTTTATGAAGATAAGAAAAATTTCACAAAGTACAATCCCTCACTTCAAAAAGCGATTTTTCGAAAACGGAACATTTTTTGCTATTTTTATTGAATCAGGATGAAACGTTGAATTTTGTTCCGGTCAACCAGGATTTCCAGAAAACCTCCCCCTTGGATCTCGTTGTGATTTCGGAGAAATGGACGTTGAAACCAGTGGCTGGAAGTTTCTGACACAGTTCTACGGAAACTCGAAAGTTTTCAAGCGAGATATTGGAAAAGTCGAGTCGGCCGAACCGAAGAATCTTTTCCAAGTTTCGTCGGCAACCCTCAAAGGGGAGATAAGAAGGCCAGCCAGAGATGGAGCAGGTAGAAATTGACTGATTGGTCGCATTTGGAATGGCTCGGCTGCTCCAATGTGCGCCCGACTCTGAACAACTTGCGCGCTTGAACATTAGGAAGCATCGTTTTTTCAGGGCATATTCGTGCATTTTTATTTATCCTCTCTTCTCAAAATGATACATTTCGTTCATAATATGGTAATAAGTATACAAGAAACCGAATTTTCCTCTAAAGTCAAATTTTTCAAGTTCTGCCAATTTTTCGACTCACAGCCGTTTTCAAGGCCTTTTCAAAAAATCTTGTTTTCATACTTCAGAAAGCTTCTCGGGTTCACTGTAGGGTTCTCTAAATACTTTTCTAAAAAAATAATTAGTTCTTTTTCAAAAAAATTTATCACAAGAAACCGCTTTCGATGTATGCAATTTTTATTTAAATTCGGCTTCACAAAAAAAAAAAAAATTAAAAAACGCTGAGCCATTCCAAATGCGGCCAAACCATGTTTATCATAATTTTTTCCAGGCCCTTTCCTACTCTACTCCCACTTGCTGGCCGTCCAAGAACAGCGCCAAGCGAGAACCACCGTTTTTTTGTCTCCAATCTTTCCTCCAACCAATCCGGATGCCTACAATAGAAGTCATCCATTGTATAGATCTTGTAAAGTTCGTCTTTTCTGATGAAAGTCGGAAAAATGTCTTGGAAAATGAGAAAAATTACCTCAGATTTGTCAAAGTATCACTGAAGCTTTAGAAAATTGGGTCCAAGAACTATTCGGTGAAAAAGTTCAACCTACAGTATCTCATGTTTTTATGGTTTTATTTGGAAACTGAAACGTTTTTTTCAGATTACTTCAAGTTTTCAAAGTTTTGATTCTTCGTCTCCAGAAAAGCATGATTTTTCCAGTTACGCTACAGTTATTACGTGAACGGCGTCGCTTTTCCTGGCTTCAGTATCAAAATAATTCGCGCCCATGGGGATCCCTTCAAAGACGGGGGCCAGGAATTCCACAACGCCCTCGCTTTGGACCATTTTCGGCAGTTAGTTTTGAGAAAAATGTTTTTTTTTCTTGTAAGAAGCTTCTTCCATGGTGAAGTCATTCATATTTGAAAGTGGGGATTAAAAATTCAGAAAAGTTATGTATTTTTCCAACTTGAACTTGTGTTTAATTGAGTAGGGCCGAATGCTTCTCATGAAGAGTTTCTAAAAATGATTTTATACAATTCATAATTCTGTAATAAACCGGAAATCAGGGGAAAAAATTGAACAAGAGACAAAATTAACCTTGAAAAATGGTTTAAAAAAAGATACTGGTAAAAATAAAAAGGGGCAGCACTACACTGACTGAACAGCAATAGACAGAAAAGAACGCCCGTATTTTATTAATTTGCAGTGGAACACAAAAAAAGCGGTCGTATTTTAATAAGCGGTCGCAATGGTCGCATTTTGTAAGCGCCCTTAATTTTTAGCATGCCATTCGAAACATAAAAAAGACATAAACGCAATTTTTTCTGCGCGAAAGCGGCGCAGTGTATGCACACAACACACGACACTTTACGGAGAAAAAGTGGTCGAAAAAACGCCGAAATTCAATTTGAGTCCGTCTCTAGAGTTTTAATCAAGCAGAATTTTTTACTACAGGCATCTGGAGTAGCTCAGGTGGTAATATTTCGAAAAGTACCAAAAAGGAAAGAATTTGAAATTATACCTATATACTACCCTTTCATTATCGATTTTAGACTTTAAATTTTTTGATTATCAGAAGATAACTTTTTGGGGATCAATTATTACTGCCGCAAGAAATTTCATGCTTCAATTTTTCTTCCTCAGATCTGCGTGGAACCGCAAAAATCTACCAATTCCCAAGCAACTGACACAGTTTCGTTTGGCCATTTTCGCCACCTTCATGGAAATCGACGCCGGCGTCGTCCTGGGCCTCGACGATATATCGATCAGCCCCCAATGCTTCAGATCCGATCTGAACAGCACTTATACACGGGTACCCGAAGGTTTATCGACAAAAATGGGCCCAGCAATTTCCGGATCCTTCCAGGGTTTTCTTACCTACCGGCCAAAGTTTTAGTCGATTCTTGTGATCATTCGGGTGTCTCTCCGCCGACATATCAAGAATGCAAGTGAGTTCGAAAAAAAAATTATTGTAAAACATTTTCTAGCTTGCTTGGATCAGTTATCTTTATTCTATGTTCATTTTTTTGAAGTTTGTCAACTTGGAAAAACTCTCAAGTGGCCACTAGAGAGGCTACTTGGAGAGGACACTGAGGTGGCCACTGAAGCGACCTAGTGGCCTAGTATTAGTACTCAGACTTCCAAATTCACCGGTCACTAACCACTTGAGTGGCCATTAATTCGATTACTATAGTGGCAACTAAAACATGAAACCCTAAAGTGGTCACTAAACATTTTTAACTCGAAATCTTTTCTAGCGAGCGACGATTGGATGACGGGTTCGCTCAAATAAGCTTCAAAAATGACGGGTCACAGGTTTGGAAGGCCGAGGAAAGCCGGTTTTACAGGTAATTTTGAAATGAAGAAAAATCATATTTTTCACGCATTGAATGTTGACAACTCAAAAATCTAGTCTGTTATGAATGCCTTTTGAAAAAAAAAAACCGATTATAGGGATTCCTCCAAAGTTCCTCAGACACGTTGATTTTCTTTATAATCTCTGCGCTTGGAAAAGTGCCAACGTTGATCAGATAAAGCAGAATTTTTTTTTCAGGTCTAGGAAATTTTATTAAAACTGAAGTTGATTTCCGAAAAAATCATATACATGAATGATTTTTTGACGTCCTTTTCACGGTTTTTTTGCAGCTTGGAAATTTTAACAGAGTTCAGAAATTGAAAAAATTTCTCATTAACGTCTTTTCCTCTTCCAAACAACTTTATTCGGTCTGAAGTTTGAGACTATCCTTCCAGACTCGAAGCATGTGGTGCGGCGGGTGGAAAACGGTTGAATTTGACGGGTTCCTCTGGTGATTGTGTCGTTGCCGTAGTTTATCTCAAGAACCAGACGACTCTGGAATTTCTCATCGGTCAGATGGGCGAGAGTCCGTGTCAATATGTGGGGATCCCTCTCAATGAATATATCTTTTTTTTGGGTTTTTCTAGAGTTCGAAAGGCTTCGATTGTACGAGGAATGGAGCTGGAGGAGGTGGAGCGACGGTCGTCAAGATTGGAAATCGAGCATTTCTGATTGCTGGCGGGGGTGCTGGGGCTAGTCATTTGTGAGTTTTGAAGAAGAAAAATGTTGGAAAATGGAATTTTGGACGTTTTTATGATTTGAAAAAGTAAGGTTTCGAGGGGAATCTTGAAAAGGGGAACTTGAATTTTCTAAAAAAGGGGCGCTTTTCCAGAATTATGAGCCCTTTCATGAACTCTTTATTCGTTCTTTTTTGGACCTGTGAGATTGAAAAAAAAAATTCCCGATATTTTCTAGAAAACTTGAATTTTCGGGAAAAATAGCTTCTTTCTTTTCAAACAGAAAACTTTTCATGAATTTTTTATTGGCTAGTTTCTTGGAAAAAAAAACTCCCCTAGCACTGTCTAAACTTGTGAAAATCTTCAAAGTTCAGCGAATCCTCCACCTATCCGAAAAACATTACAAACTCGGGTTACGGCGCATCTTCGTCAATTCCAACGAATGTAGGCCTTAAATATCTTCAAATTCCATTTATTTATTAAGTTCAATCCAAATTGCTCCTCCGAATGCCAAAAAGCGACGCCGACGACGTTCTCAAAGGCGGCCAAATGTTCGAATGAGACGATTTTTGGCGGATTCGGCGGTGGCGGAAGTTCCTGTGATGAAGTTGGAGGCGGAGGTGCCGGGTATTTCGGAGGAGCGGCTGGATCTTCCGGCTCCAGCTTCATCGATCCCGACTTCTCCGCAACCACTCATCATGTCGGTTCCTTTCAGGAGGGCAACGGTCTCGTCATTATTAGTGAGTTTGAAAGAATGGAAGAGTTTTTTCTTTCTTTTGAAGGGCTAGATAGAATTAGGCTCAAGCTGTAACAACCTTTCTAATTTTTTTTTTGGATGGCTCGGAAAGGTAGTTTTTCTTCCAATCAGAAATCAAACTTTTTTTCTGTCCAAGGTTAGTTATTTCAGCGACATGCAACTTGAACTGCGAATTCCCGACCATTTGCCGATTCCACAATGCTTCATCCGAAAAACAATATTGTGCCTGTCCCAATGGAGAAGAGTTTTTGAATGAAACTTCGATGGTCTGCGCTCACACTCCAGGTAAAAGTTCAGCTGGTCCACGGGCGGCTTAAGCCATCAAAAAATGGGTCGTGACACTATTAAAAAAGCGCTTCATTGGTGGACAGCGCGGACAATCATTTCCAACATCTGTCTATGGCTTTTGGTTTCGCCTTTATTAATCTTCAAATATTTTATATCTTCTCGAATTTCTGATAAGTTTTCGAAAGCGCAGAAGTCGGAATCTGCTATAAGTTACACTAAAAAAGCTCTTCGCCTCGAAAGTTTTTCGATTTAAACCATTCTCTCTCAAAATTCCTAGTAGCTTCTGTAATTTAATTAAAAAATAAAAAAATTAGCGATATAGTCCGTTCGGTGTGACTTGACAGTTGTAAGTTTCTGCGCCACTCTGTTCCCTCACCGGCGAGGTCACAGAAACGCGAAAATAGTGCGTCAACAAGAGAGGGTCGTCGAGAGACGAGGAGGGCGCAGAGAAGTCCCGCCCTTTCAAGCCGCGAAAGTTAGACTAAAACTATATGATAAAAATAAATTTGGGAATTACTCATCATCCAATCTGTTGTTGTTTAGATGAATGCCCACTATCGTGCAATTCGCCAGCCGAATGTGTCATTTTGGATTTCCTCCTCATCCCAGCTTGTCGTTGTCCAAATCGCGTAGATTTGATCGACGAGAATGAATTTTGTTTTGAAGGTTTTGTGGAATAAATTAACTTGAAATTGGAAAAATTCAGCCACCAGCATCGATTATATTTACAAATTCCTTCTGATCGGTATCATCTTCCTTTTGGTACTTTTCTCGGCCAGCTGTGAGTTTTCGACTTTTCAAAAACAGTTCAAAATAATTCACAGGGACTTGTGTGAGACGGAAATCGCAAAAGAACAAGGCGTTTTCGATCAACCCCTTCTTGATGCAAAATATGGTGGATTTTATCGAACATTTCACAAGAATGAACGATTTTCAGGATGATGGCCATCACCAAATCTACAACGAAGTTCAATTCGGAACAATTTCAAGACATGAAGCTTTGAAAGAGTTGCCGCAGATTGATAAAGAACAGCTGTCTTTAGGGTAGGATCCCGATAGAAAGAAAATGAAGATAGTGTTCAAATTGAAAAAGGCCTCACTTTATCATACCTTTTCAAATGAAACATGTACTTCAGATGTTTAATTATAAGTTGACCATAATTTCTCAGGAAAAAAAGAAAAGTGTTTCGAAATTAACCCAAAAGGCTCTAAAAAGTCGAAATTATCATTTTATTTTTCTTTCTTTTTCGTAGGTAGGAATAATAGAAAAGCAGCGGATAAATACAAGAATCCGATATTTTTTATTTGATACAGCTGAAGCGATCGAGAAAAGGAAAATTACGTGGTTGATAGGAAGGCCACGCCCCTTATCCACTAAAGTTAGAGAGACCACGCCAATTAACAGCTAAACTTACTAGTTAGAGGGACAAAATATTTATCTTATCTATTTTTAAAGCTCGAAAGCTCACAGATGTCTGTACAGTTATAGTCGATCCTCCTGTCGTGGAAGGCGGGAGGCAAAAGTCACGCGTTGCGTACGCGACGCGGCTTTTGGCGGGAAACGCTTATTCAAACGCGAGCCTTTTTTGAAGTTTTTTCATTAATTTTCAACTTTTCTAGGGTTTTGAAAAGCATGAGAAAGGTATAGAGAAGATGATATATTGGGAAAAAAAAATCTCAAGGCTTATGAAAGACCCAAACTTTCTCTATTTCAGAAGCCAAAAGGCGCTCGGACGAGGCAACTTTGGCCAAGTTATTCACGGTGTCTATCGAAGAGAGGATGGGGGATTGATCGACGTCGCCATCAAAATAATCGAACAAGCATTTACTTCAAATGCTCAGCGACAAGCCGACCTGATGAACGAGGCGCTCTGCATGGGGTTCGGAACTTTGAAATCAAAAATAATCTACTTCAAAATTTTCATTTACCATTTGAAGTGGGCAAGGCAGCAAGAAGAGAATTGCTTTTTTTGAACTTTTTTTCCCTTCAAGTTGATTTTTTTAAAGTCTAGTAGTTTTTGTCCTATTTCAAGGTGACTGTTTAAAACAGGGTGAAAAGCTATATAATGAGACCAAACGACATTTTTTTGGCCACGGCCGCCTACTTTTTTTCCGTAAAGTGTAGTGTTTCTTGTGCATACACTGCGGCGTTCTGGCACACGCCATTTGTTTTTTTTTAGATTAAACAGGAAATTCGAGTTTTTTTAAAGGATAAATAGATTCGTCTCGGGAGCCATTAATGCGCCTTTTATGTTTTCTGTTGTTTATGCGTTTATCCATGACGTCATATGGGAACGGCGGAGGTTTTGACCACGCCCCCTTAATTTTTGGTTTTACATTTTCTTCCTCTAACAAAAACGCCGTGAGTCATCAAAAAATGATGCTTCTTTAGACATTTCAAACACCGGAACATTACCGAGCTGATTGGGGTCAATTTCAATAAAATCCCATATATCATTGTCGTTGAATACATGGCCGGCGGGGATCTGTTGACCTTCTTGCAACGGGCGACACCGACGGAGGTTTCTCAGTAGTTTTTGGAAAGCTTCATTGCTCTCATTTTGCAGGACGATTTGAATCCGATGCATTTGTCGATGAACGACTTGCTCAGGATCGCTGATGACGTCGCTTCAGGTGGGATAGTTTTTTTTTTGGCCAAAAAACGAGTCAGTCCTGGAGGATCCTCGCATCTTTCCATTTTTTGCAAATGTACCCGAAAATTAGAACAGACTCAAAGATAGGTTTGAAAGACTTTTCTAGGGTCTTTTTTCGAGAAGGTTCGTTACAAGAATATAGAGAAAGAACTGAACAAAAATTGAAAGCCAACGGAAATTTACTTTTCCCTGAAGATTTAGAAATAACGTTCAGGAAAGGCTCCATACACGAATATTTATAGAAAATCTTATTCTCAAAATTTTAAAAACCTTCGAAAGGTCCACTTATCTGTCAATAAATTATCATTATCAAAAGTATAATTATAACTCACTGGCTCGGTCAAAACTGATCGAATATACGATTTCCATGGTTTTTCATGATTCTATTGACATGGGAGGTCATTTTACTTTGCGGTTGCAAATTCTGAAAGTCTCAACCTGTACAACTGCTTAGTTTTCGAAAGGGCTCAAAGCCTCAGAATGACCATTTTAACGAATTTTTTAGTGTTTTCTTTGACTTTGAGGTGTGATTTCTCGAAAACTAGGGAGTTGTGCAGATTTGACATCATTTTCCAGGCTGCGCCCTTCTGGAAGAAAAAGAATACGTCCATCGGGATATCGCCGCCAGGAACATCCTCCTCACGCAAACCGGCTTTGAAAGAATCGCCAAAATTGCCGATTTCGGTATGGCTCGGTATCATCAGCCGAAGGATGGGTTCGAAACCACATATTGAAAAAAAAGTTGAAAAAAAATTCCAGATTCGAATTCTATCAAGCGATGAGTTCGACCCTGATGCCCGTGAAATGGACGGCCCCTGAAGCTTACATTGACGGGAAGTTCTCCTCGAAATCCGACGTCTGGAGCTACGGGATTCTTTGCTGGGAGATTTTCTCCCTTGGAGTCGTCCCCTATCCGGATCGAAATAATGATGAAACCATCGTCGCAGTGACCAGCGGAGAGCGTTTAGAATATCCCTATGGGTGTCCCTATAAGGTTAATCTCGTAGATTTTAGAAGGAAAAGCGTCTTCAGAATGTTAGAATTGGTCAGAATGTTCGAAAAAAAAAATTATGAAAAAATCAAAAATTTGTGTTCTTACAAGGTTTACCTCCAAGTTTGAATGATGATGTGAAAAGAAAAAAACTAAAAGTTGTAAAAAAATTTTTAAATTATAGTTCAGAACTTAGGAATCCCAGAGTGGTCCCTATAGGGGTTAGGGGGTAAAACAACCCATATAGGGGCCGAAAAGGGTCGCTATAGGGATTCAGGATCTGACCCCTTAGCCCCCAAAGCTCAAGTGGACCTTATAGGGTTCTTTCAATTTTATTCAAAAAACACTTATTTTTCAGTTTTTCACATGGAAATGCTTCTTCGCTTAGAGTTCATGACAATTATCGAAAAACTAAAATCTCTATAGGGACCACTTTTGCAAGCTTTAGTGGTCCTTTGGGGCTGGTAAAAGGATCCCTAGAGATGACCCTTAAGTTCGCCCCTATAGGGACCACTCAGGAGTTCCTAAGAATGTTATGAGTGTTTTCTTAAGGCTAATCTTCCATTTTTGAAGGATTGTTGTAAGGTAAATTAATTGATAAGTAAGGCAGAAATGAAACCGATGTTAACAATCAAAAAAATTGGTTTCCTACAAGGCTCATGGGTTCAGAAAAACAAAGAAACGTTATTTTTATTAAAAGAAACATCACAAAACGAATGTTTCAAAAAAAACAAGTGACTAATAAAGATTTATATTTCCAATAGTTTTTGTTAATTGTATAGGAATTCTGAATCTCTAGTGTTTCTAAAGATTTAGCGGTTTATCTGAAATTTGATACCTTTTAAAAGGTGGAAGCAGGTCCTTCAAATTAAAAAAAAAATTCAACCATTCAGGTTTACCTCCTGATGCGTAGGTGCTGGGAGACGCAAACGGAAAATCGCCCGACTTTTTCAGAAATCAAGGATTTCATCGAACAGTTATTCACCGTAATACCCTACCGTACTATTTTTTCTGAACATCAAGGCCTTCAGGACAATGTCACAATGAGCACTCCGTTCCCCGTGCATCCATATTTGCTGAGCGAGTACCTGAAAAAGGGGAATCACGTCGAGGAGACCTACCAGCCGTCTCAGATCGGCGTCTGGGACACGCCTCTCGAGACACCTTCCACAGTAATGACCGAGCTTTTGAACACGCCCGGCGCCACGGAAGACACCTGGAGCGACGCCCTCCTCAATTATCAGATCGACGTCAGCCAGAAACAAGCTCGTCAGTTTTTTTTTTGAATGTTCAAGGTGTTATTAGAAAAAATTCTGATCATCATCGAATTTTTTTTCTGAGGCTAATCTTTCTTCTAAGAACACCAGAGTGGTCACTGGAGGGGCTAAAGCCTTTATAGTGAACAGAATAGTGCTTAAGTGGTCCCTCTAGGAGTTTAATCTGGCCCTTAAGCCCCTAGCTTAAGTGGTCACTGTAGGGGTCTTTTGATTTTTGGTTCTGATTTGACTAGTGAGAGTTAAAAAGACGTATAGGGATCCTTATCATGCTCCCCTAGAGTGGCCACTTTTGCAGCTCTATTAATTTCTTTTTTTTTTTTGATTTTCGGAAAGAAAGATAGTAATATCATTATATTCCAGTTGATTTTCTGATCAATCGACACGAAACGCCGTTCATCTCGGAGAAAGCCAAAGAGTTTTTGGATTCGTTAAGGAAACAAGTCGACATGTGCCAGGCCGCCAGGAAATTACGAGGTGAATCGCACAAAAAAATGGAGCTTAATAGTAAAAACTTATGGAAAAAATTATCGTTTTATTATTTTAAAAACAAGTTTATAATTGTTGAAAAACTCATGAGATCAATTTGAAACCGAAAAAAAGATTCTTTTCTTCAGCAACCCATACGAAGAAGGAAGAAGAAGAGGAGAAAGTGGCTGAAAACTACGCTCTGCTGGCACACACCTGTAAGACTCCCGAAACGCACAAAATCGAGCTACCGTAACCTTTCAGCGACTGTCGAAAGGCCGACCTCGCTGAACATGAAAGCCCTTGACGACAGTCTGGCCGTGGCGATGATGTCGCCGGAAATGACGGCCCCGGCCCGGCAATTCGAAGACAATCTTGATGGGCCACAGTTCTTGTCATTTTGAAGGGTTGTTAGGGCAAAGTTGGAGAAGTTTTCTAAGATGGTTTGAAATGCGGAGAAAAAAGAGGGCTCCTCAAACCTTTGTTTTCATTGAGGAAATTTTTTAGCCCCTGGGGGAATTTTTAGGAATCAAGACTGATGTGACAACGCTTTTTTTATTTATCAAGTCATTTTTGGACTTTGAAGCGTTAAAACTTGAAAACTAAGTTTATTCCGAGATTCCCTTTTCTTGAAATCAGAAAATCTTGAAGCCTCCAAGTTTCTTCAAAGGTTGATCCCTTGTTAGTTGGATAAGACCTTAAGTATCCCTAATATCATTTAAAATCTCTATTTTCATCGATATTTTTTTTGCTGAGTCTTAGCTGGGTAATACCTTGAAGTATCCTGATTTCGATCCGAAAATACACTTTTTTGCGTCTTTTTCTTTTATTTCTAGTAATAGTCCGTTCGCCGCGACTTGACAGTTTTCGAATGTCTGCGTCTCTTTGTTCCCTCACCGGCGACGTCATAAAAACATAGAAATAGCACGTAAACATGAGAGGGTCGCCGAGAGATAGAGAGTGCGCAGAGAAGTGCCACCCTTTCAAGTCGCGAAAAACGGACTATCTGAATGTATAGATAGCTAAAATACAAAATTGAAATTTTTTCTAACCTTTAAAAAAAACCGTATGAAAATCTTCCCGACTTTGCACATGTTGTTATTTATATTTATATCTTTTGTTACTCTGAGTTGTACATAATGGAAAATATGTGTTTATTGTCATCCGTTTTGTTTTGTGATTTTATCAAAATCTCCGCATCTTTCGAAGAACCTCAAACCTGTCGTATTTCCATCAGTCCAACTGATTTTTTGTTATTTACGTTTCTTTTCAATATTCCTCATAAATAATTTTTTTTCTTTTTCGGCTTGCTATAAAAGTTGTGTCGTGCTACCTTTATCACCACATTTTCTGCAAATCTCGGAAATAGACGTCGGATTGCTGTTTGGCGTCGATGAACCAGACGGCCGATGGGATCAGATGCGGCGATTCTTTTGCCGATCCGAACGGCTTCAGGAAGAAATTCCGGTACGTTTGTCGCCACCTTGGAGTCAGGTATATCACAATGGGCACGCAGAGAAGGGGATTTCTGAAGAAATTTGGATTGGTTCTTCGAGAAGTCCATAAAACTTCATAGAGTTTCCGAAAATAGCTGAAATTTTATTCAAATATTGAAAACGCCATTCACAACAACCCTACGAGTTTTGAAAGTAATTGAACATGAGACAAAAAAAGTTGAGATGAAAGTTTAAGTTTCGCATATTTTGGACGGTACTGTAAGGGATAAGGTCCGGTAAAATTGAACTGAAATCGACGGAATATGAACCGAATTACTTGAAGAAAAAATGAAAAGCTTCCAAATGCTCATTAAAAAAAAAATAAAAAAGGTCTTTTTTTGTCACCTTTTTAAGAATAATGACCTTTTCGAGTTTTCATTCATTTTTTGAAAATCATAAATATCATTGACCTCTTTCTTTCAAATATCATTTAACCTTTTTGAGTGGAAGCTCTCTACAGCGAAAAGGCGTTAGAAATTATTTTCAGAACCTTTTTCAAAACTCTTTTCTTTTTTTTATTTCATTTTTACTCTGCCTCTGCTTTTGAAAGTGCTCAACTTGAAGTTCTACTTGATTAAATTTAGCAACTTTCTCTGTTTTGTTATCCAGTCCAGTCCAATACATTCTTTTATTTTTATTTGATTATTTTGAAGTTGCCCAAAAAGCTCACTAAAAAGGGCAAGAAGCTGGATTTTTTTCATTTTTTTAATGAAAAAAAGAAATTTTCGTTATGATTCTTTGCCGTTCTTTCTCCAAAATTAACTTGGACCCATTTTTTTCAAAAAAATTCTTCGTTTCTTTAGAATGAAATGCCCAACAAAAAGCCTAGAGATGTTTTTTTCAGAAGCCTCTTTTTTTATACTCTCTCGAGGTCTTCATGGAATTTTTCTTTTTTTAATCTTTCTTTTTATTTCGAAATTAAATATGCATAGGCAAGAAAGGAACTCATCCTACACTCCTCATGACTTCAAAATGAGTTCACTAAAAAAATTCTGAAAAGACGTACTTTAAGCTTCTCTTTTTTCTCAGTGACCGCTCATTTATTGATCTTCAGCTTAATCTTTACCCTAATTTAAGATCTTATATTTTCCTATAATATTGAAATCTTAAGAATTTTTTTAAGAAAAATCGAATTTTTGAATAGAAAGAAAAAGTTTTGAAAAAAATGGAAGGTTATAAAAAAATAATTAATTGACCTCAAGCCAAATACGAGAATTCTTTTTTTCAATTTTTTTCAATTTTTCCATTTCCATTTTTCCAATTTTTGAGTGAGAAATCAGTCACAAACTCACGAATAGATCGCAAATTCTATGAGTAGATGAAATACTGCGCAGAATGTAGGGGAAAATAGGTTTGTTAGAGATAAAGCGTACAAAATAAAGAGAAATAATAATGTACCACCCACGAATATTATCGTGTATCTTATGGCCTGGAAAGTGGGGGAGTTTTCGGAGATTTGAACAGTTCATTTTTAAAAATTTTGCTTCAATTTAGCCGATGGAACACACTCCATTAGATGCAACAAAACATATGAAATTCTAAAAACTTCGTGATTTAATTTCATAATGAACATTTTTCAACAGCTGTCCAAATTAATGACTCACATCAAGAACCCGTAGATTTTCCTCAAGTTGATACTTTTTCGCTATTGAGTAGTTAATAATTTCCTGTTGAAAATTGACGTGATTCACGAGTCGATGATTCTGCTGCCATAATCGGGCAAACATCTGAGAAGTTATTTTTCACATTTTAAGGTTTTCAACAAAACAAAAAAAGATCCTTTTGTTACAACTGAAACCCCTTTTAGAAGTTATTCAGCCTTCAACCGAAAAATTGAGGAAAAAACGAAAAAAAAAATCCTTACGAAACTGGAAATTTTTGAGAAGTAATCAAGAATATGTCACTTTTTTTTTCACGCTTGGAAACTTGTAAAAATACTAGAAAAACTTTTAGTGGCCACTATAGAGGCTCCTCAAGGACCCATTGGAAAGAACACTAAAGCGGTCACTAAAACCACCTCTATAGTGCCCACTAAAACGTCAAAACCCTATAATGGCTTAAGATTTCCTTCGAATTCGGTTTTCCTACTTTTCTTGAGAACGCCAGGCTTCTAGGAGGGTTAGGAAAAAAAAATAGCCCCTATATGAGATAAAAAAGTGACCCCTATAGGGTAAAGGCTCGGTGGTCCCTAGAGAGGTCACTGTTTTATATAGGTACCACCAAGCCTTTAGCCCTATAGGGGTCACTATTTCTTATAGGGGCTATATCTCCCTAACCCTTCTAGAAGCCTGGCGTTCTGAAGAAAAGTATGAAAACCGAGTATTTTGGTTCAGGGTCTGTTACCTCAGCTCCCCTGAAAAACATTTTTCCAAGTTCCTGTCTAGCCAAAAAAATTCTCCGATTGTCTCCTATCAATTCTTTTGAATAAAACGAGCCTATATCAAACCACGAACCCCAACTAGAAGAAGAGCGCAAGTCGAAGCGAAAAGTATGGGAAAAACGACATCGACGAATCCGAAAATGATAACGACAGTGACAATAGTAGCGAAGACGTTGGCCAAGATAAGGCCGACGCAGGAAATCCACTTCCTGGGCACGTTTTCGTAGTTTGAGATGAACTTGGTCGCCAAAGTGCGCTCCAGAATGATTGACGGCATCATCGTCGTCGCCAAGGTTGCGTATCGGGCGATCATGAAGCCTCCAATTATCAGCGGGAGGTAGTTGGCGTCGTCTATCACGTAGGCCGTTCTGTTGGACTCCTTGTCGATTTTTAGTTCTAGTTCTGAAAACAGTTTTTTTTCAATCTGTAACAGACTTAAGTTCAAGAAAGCAGAATACTTATCGGTTATACATGAGCAGACCACTTCTAAAGCCCCCCATCAAAGACAGGTCTACCTCTTGAAATCACGCCTTTGTTCATTTTGGTCAACTCCCTGCGATTAAAATTAATATTAATAGCATATTTCCCGAAATTTGTGTAAAATCACCCCTCTCCTGGACTTTTTGAATTACGATCCTGCTTAGACAAGGAAATGAAAAATTATCTCAAAACCCATTTTCCAACAACTTTAATCAGCTAATCCCCTCTGCGCCCCTTTTTCTTTGCGCAAGCTCTCAAGTTCTGCAGAAAATGCGTAAATCGAAAATAATTAAGATAAAGAAGACTGTCTTGAATGATCTACCTGTCATCTGCCGAAACTCTGATTTCTCTGCGCTTATTCTCTCTCGGCGATACTCTCGTGTTTATGTGCTATTTTTATGTTTCCATGACCTCGCAGCTGAGACAGAAGAGGCGCAGGCAGATCAGACTATTCAAAGTCGGGGGGCTGTATGGAAAATTTTTTTCATCATTGCAAGAGCTCAAGCTCAATTTGTAGACTGAAGTAGAAGAATTTAGCTTGAAAAATGAGAAAATAGGGAAATCATCTTTTTCCTTGGAACAGGTGAAAAAAATCGACTCTTTTAAATGTCACATTGGCGTAGGTTAAGCAAAGGGCATGTGTTTTGTAGGTACCCATTTATGATTAAGAAGATAATTAATTATTTTATGGTGATTTCAAAGAAAGGGTGAAACTTACGAGTAAAAGGGAGGAACCCGTCTTGATAGGGAAAGACTAAAATCCTCGAAATAAATAATTCGAACCAAGACGCACAAAATGAAATATAAAACGTGATCAAATTCCAGTGGTAGACTTTGTGTTTCAAAGAGAGGGCTAGTATTGAAATCTGGATTTTTCTTCGAGTTACAAAAAATGAAAAAAAAGCTCACAGTTAGGATCAGAGCGAAGGTTAGAGATATCAGTTCGAGAACCCGAAAAGCCCAAAATATGGCACAAACTTCGCCCGAACGAACAATTGACAGAGGGACCCAGATCTCGCCGAATCGCGGGGAATATAATCGAATACCTGAAATAATGAAAGCTTAGAAAATTGAAAAAAATCGGTTTTTAAAAATTTTTTTGTAATGGTTCTCTTGACCGTGTCTTCCAGTTAAAATTTTTTTGAATTTTCAAATAAAATAATGATAAAATTAGTGGAGATAAGGGTTTTCATACTTTTGAAATCGGAAAGACTATTTTTTTAGCAAGATAATTTTTTTGAAAAGGTATAAATTTTTCTCGTTTAAATCTCAATTTTTCCTATAAATTTTTTTGGAAAAAAAGTTCGATTTTACGAGAAAAAAATTTTTTTCCATGATTTTGATGAAGTTTTTAGTTTCAAAATTCGTATTTGAAGATTTTTCATTTTTTTCTCCAGCTCAAAAAGCTCAAAAAAAGGCCGAGTTTTTTTAACCTTACTAGCAGAAAATTCATGAAACCACTCTCATATTTTTACCCTTAATTTTTTTCTCAAACTTGTTCGAAATCGAATTTAAAAAAATAAAACCAAAATTAACCAGCAGGGAAGATTTGAAAGGCAGTCATGCAGCAGTGAAGAAACCGAAATATTGGAGAATAAGGAAAAAATAATTCTCGAGAGGAAGTCACCAAAGAAATTCTCCCTCATTTTTTTTTTTCCAAGCAGGTGAAGTTTTCCCCATGATTAGTGGCTCAAATTGTCGCTTTCTTCTTGTATTTTGATTCGAATCGAGAATTTATATCAAATAGGTAGCTTGAAAACTCCTTTTTCATGTTTTTTTCTTCTGACAAAAAAAGAAGATGAGTTAGAAAAGATCAGTGAACTCTTTGTGAGATTTTTTTGTTGAGGTACCCGAAAAAAGAAATATTAAATTATAAGTTTCTAAATCGAGTTTCTCGGAAAGTTGGAAAGTTTTTCCAAGAAGTTGGAAAATTGGCATTTTATCAAGTCACAAGGTTTTTTTAAATTGGCCCGGAAAAACTTTGAAACCTTGTAATTTTTTTGGGAATGAATTTGGAAAAAAACGCTTTTTTTGAAGAAGTTTATTGCAAGAAAAAAACTTAAAATTAAAATATTTTTAGTTCAAAAAGAATTTTTTTAGTCTTTTTGAAGCCTAAAGATGCTGGTATAAGTTCAAGGAATCGCTTGAGGAGACTGCTAAAGGGACCACTTTGAGCTGTTTCCAAAGCCGCAGTTTCCCGAGTGATCACTTCAGTTTTTTTTTCTGGAGGCCGTTTTTTTCAAAGACAAACTGGGAGGTGACTCTTAAGTGATTGAAATTGAGCAGGAAAAACTTCAAAACAAAAGAAACCAGAAATTTTGAAAGGTATCATTTATTCATGTCGAAAAATGGAAGCTTTTTCGAACTTACGAATTTTTCAACGCTATGAAATATTCATTTTTTAATCAACGAAAATCCTCGTGAAACTTTTGAAACTGCGTCACTTGTTGTCGGTGTAGTGTGATAAACTCGTGAAGATTAACGAGTCTGAAATTGTTGTCTTTTTGCTTTTCCTACGCTCGAACTGAGCCGATCACAAACAGCTGATCCCTCCTACAACGTCGCTTTTTTTTTTTTGAGAAGCGGTGTCTTTTGGCGGCTTTTTTTAATGTCTAGCTCTTGAATTTTGAAGATTTTATCAATAAAGAGAACTACTAATATGTTTTCTAGAAAATGGATCATGCGACGCGGTCGCGTTGCGGTCAGGCCTTGTAATTTTTAATTTTTTTGTTCTACACGATGTCCTACAAGGGTTTTGTAATATTCATATTCATTTCTTGTAAATTTAATTTTTTTGATTCTGCGTCATGCGTAGCGGTTGCGTCGCGGTTCATTTTTTTCAATTTTTTTGTGTCGTAGCACTTTTTTTGCCTCTTTTTCACGTTTGATTGTACTACTTTCAATTGAAAAAAATAGATTTATCAAACTTCAAAAAAAAATTTTTTTGATACAGGGAATGAGAAGTTTCGCGGCTGAATCTGATATTTTTTTATATAATTAGTTTTGTAATACGACACTCCGCTGAAACGCATTGAAATGAAAATAAAAAAGCGAAAAGAAGCCTTTTTGGACTGTAAAATCTAAAATCTTCTTTTCATTTTCGGTAAAATTTAGTGAATCAATTTGACGAAAAATCCACTTTTCCAAATTTATAGTTCTGTGCTCTAAAAACCGCTAGAAAATTTGATTTTTTTCCCCCATTTTAATGCTTATTTGTCTTCAAACAGAAAGGAACCCCCACTTTTCATGAGGTGAAAAGGGCGTTCCCGCCTTTTTTTTCTCCTCCTTCTTTCTTTGCTCAGTTTCTCAGAAACAGAGATCTTTTTTGTCCAGTTGTTCCCTTGTTCAAACAGTGTTCTCCTATTTTATCATTTTTCTTTGGGTTTTTTCGGTTCTGTTCAAAGTTCTACTGATCCCTAGACTGATTATTTCAATGTGCCCATCATGAATGATAAGAATTATCAGAGTCCAGCTGATAACTTGTGAAATTCCACTTTTCCTGTTTTTTTTTCGTTGAAGCTTGGATTTTTTCCAATTTCCATTTCAATTCAAAAAAGCTTTCAACTTAATTCGCATCTCAATCGAAAAAACAGCACATTTTGCTCTTTGAGACTTCGAAAAAATCCTTGTTTTGCTCCACGTCCGTCAATTCGCCCTAAAAGGCCAACGTGTTGCTTTTCCTCCCTTTCCTCGCCTATAAATTATCCTCTTTCAGACAAATGACCCAATCGCATAATTGTTCTGGGAAAACAGAAATGTACGCCGAAGTTGGTAGGAGAGCCACTGAGAATGGCGCAAAATTGGAGAATATTGGCGCTGGAAAGGTGAATTTTTGATTTTTTGTGGTAGGTTTTCGGCTCAATAAATTCGAAAACTCGATAAATTTTTCGGAGAAATACTTGGAAAGCAAAAAAATTCCAAAAATGGTGTGAAAAAAACATCAAAAAAATGAGAGGAAAAAGTGAAAATTTTTTTCAGATTTTTTTTTCTGAAAAAAAGTAGTGAAATCTAGTTTCGTTTGGCTATTCCACTGATAATTGTTCATTTCAAACTATACTAGCCTCAGGAAGACTTTTCCGACCAATTTTATTCTGCGGGTAAAAGTTCAAAATATCGTCGGCGTGTGTGCATGACTCCGTAAATAAAGCCGAGGAGCTGTTTTTTTAAAAAAATGTTTTTGAGCTCGTTCTTTTTTTAATCGATGTTTTTTTATTGCTATTTTCGACAAACTGTATTTTTTTACTATCTTTGGGAAAAAGATATATTCCAAGCTTTAATTATTATTTTTTTCAATCAATTTTTTTCCTAATAAAATGGATGTATTAAAACTCATTTTCTGGTTTTTTTGAGTTGTTTCTTTCGAAAAAAACCCTAAAACAAGGTTTTACGACAATTAATTATTTTTTTGAGTTTGAAAAATTTTTTTGCAAACTTTGCCTTGAATCAATTTTTTTAAACTTCAAAACTAATTCTCAGGATTTTTTTAGGGGAATCTGTCCAATGTGTTACTTCTCAGAGAATCGCAACTCAACGGTCTCGCTAATTCTCACGGAGCACTCGTCGTGAAGGTAATTGCACTAAAAAAATCTATATTTCTACTGTTTTTTTCATTTCAAAAAAACTCTTCACATGAATAAGTTGGGTATTTTTGATATTTATGTAAATAAATTTTTCACCATTTTTTTCAAACTTGAAAAAAATTTTTGGAAAAAAATATGTTAAATATCAGGTTCATTTATCGATCGTGTAAATCTCATTTTTCCTGACCAGGAAACCTTTTTTTCAGCCTACGAGAAATATCTTTATTTTTTTCTGGAAGGAGACCCTAAAGTACCCTTCAGAAAGTTTTTTTCAAAAAAATCCAGAGGGGGGGCGGGAGTGAGATTTCGCCTGATCCTTGAAACGATCCGAGAGATCATCGAATCAAGTAGAAGCTTGTGGAATCAAGCGTCGAAATGTGTTTACATCCCATCCGTCTTCATCAACACGTTGTCGAGTTTTGAGGTGTAACTATGATGTTTTTTTTCCAGACGACAATGGCCGAGCCCGTCAAAATCCTCGCCAATCAAGTCAGAACGGAAACGTTGGCCAAGGTAAACTGAGAAAAATAAGATATTTGTAAAACAAATCAAAATGACTGAAAACAAGAGTACGAAAATGTTCGGGTTTGAAGGTTTTCATGAAGTTTGACATGTTTCAAAGATTTTCAAGGTCTTGCTTTTAGAATTTTAACGTTGTTTCTCAACAAATGAATATTCACGAATACATGCAGCTTACCTTAAACGTGTGGAATTGAGAAATTCATGTTTACCTTGAAAATTTCAACTTTAAATTTTTTTCTAGTAGGAAGGGTCTTGAAACGCTTTATTAAAGGCGCAGCGAGTAATTATTACAATTTTTTTCTGATTTTTTTAAAATACTAGATCTAGTCTATTTGCTAGTGAACTAGCTTTTTTTTAGGCCTATAAATCATTTTTTTGAATTTAAAGGGTCTTGACACGCCTTATTAAAGGCGCAGCGAGTAGCCTGAACTTATTTAATTTTTTCCGACTTTCAGTTATTTTTTTTTTGCTAATCAGTAATGAAAGTCTATTTGTTAGTGAACTTGCTTATTTCTATAACTATAAATCATTTTTCGAGTTTAAAGGGTCTTGACACGCTTTATTAAAGGCGCAGCAAGTCGACTGAACCTAAACATAGTTATTTTTTTCGATTTTTGAGTCAATTTATCAAACAAAATTGATTTCTATTTCTCATTTACGTCGCTTTTTCATTTAAAAAAAATTACTCCTTATTTATTCTTCACATTATTTCCTATTTTAATATTCTGTCTGTTACCTGAATTTAGATCTTTTAAAAAATTGCTAGTTCTGGAAAAAATCAAAGGTTTCACGATTCATTTCTAAAACTCCACTATCTCGTGTTTCCGATTATTTTCGAAAAAATCCCCAACTCAACTTGAAAAAAAAAAAAAATCCAACTATTAGCCATTCAACAAGCCTCGTAAACTTATACGAGACATCTGGCCAACCCGAAATAAAACAAAAAAAAAGAGCTTGTCAGGGAAAAATAGCAACAACATCTCAAAAACCAACTTGTCCGGGGCTCGTTTTCTGTCTGTTTTCAAACATTTTTTTTCCACGTCGGAAAATCGAATTAGCGATGATTTAGTTACGTGGAAAGTCTGTGTTGGAATGACGAGTTGAGTGAGAGAAACTTCTTTTTTTAGATAAAGGAGAGTCATGAGGAAGATTGAGACATTGATTAGGAAAAATGAGGAAAAATGAACCTTGAAAAAAATAAGCATCAAAATTTCGTTAAGATAACAATTTTGATTAATTTTTAAATACGATCCAAGATTATTGGGCCGAAGCTTCTCAATATTTGTCAACTTTTTGAAGCAGGGAAGTGAAGTTCACGGTAATATGCAATATTTTTGCAAAAAAAGTGTTTCCCTCAAAAAGGAACAATTTTTGAGGCTGTTCCTGCCAGGAAAGATCTAGTTGGAACTGAGAAAAATTTTTAAAAATTCAAAAATTTTTTCAGATGCACAATACGGAATTGAGCGTATACGAAGTTCTCGGCAACCATTCTAACAGTCAGATTCCTCATCCGAAGGTGAGTTTCCTGTTTCTCATTTTCAGAAACTACTATAAATCAATGTTTCGGTCATTATTTCGTGTCCTGTCAATTATAAACGCTCATTCCACAATTTTTTGAGCTACAGAACCCTTCCCTTCGATGCGCGCGGCTTGTCTCAATATATGCGCCTTTAATATGACGGATTTCTCTAGGCTAATCTATGTATTTCGAGTGTCTGCGTCTCCCTCATGAAACATTGAAATAGCGAGTCAAAATGAGAGTGTCGCCGAGAGACGAGGAGGGCGCAGAGAAATATATCAAGTCATGATAAACGGACTTTAAAGGCGCATACACAACGGCAGTAGATCGAAAAAAAGGGTCCTGTAGCTTGGAGCCGAAATGGACCATACAATTTGAGATCTACGCGATGCAAAGAATGATCCCACCATCACAAGGATTCATCGTCATGCAGTACATTGACCAGTGCGAACACGTCAGCGTCTACAGTAACCTCACGCCAGATCAACTTATTGAAGTAATCAATTATCATTTTATCAGTTACATATCTCATCCGTTAATCTTTGTAACCAAGGAATGTTCTCAGTTCGGGACTTCTGAATGAGACTAGGCCCACTGATGTAGTTTTTATGCTGGTTCTGAATCTGTGCTCAAAAGTTGCCTTCGAGACCTGTGAAAAAAGTTACATCTGGGCTCCAGAACCTTTTTGAAAAATATTAAATCATTTTTCGTGACAAGGAGCCCAATCGGAACCAACGAATTTTTCGACTTTGAGAGCCCCTAACTTTTTTCACAGGCCTCGAGGGCAAATTTCAAACACATATTCGGAATCAGCGTAAAAAAACTACATCTAGTAAGCCTAGTCTCATTCAAAAATCCCACTGTGAGCTGAGAACATTCCCTGGTAAGTGTGACCTGTCTGCGCTCTCTTTTCTCTTGAACCTAAAAACATGAAAATAGCATGTAAATACGAGAGAAGAGACGCAGAGAAATGAGAGTTTTGGCGAAAGATCATTCAAGCCAGTCTCTTGATAATGATAAATTTCGAATCACGCCTTTTTGAAAAAACCCGAAAAAATAGCCTCAAAAATGAAAGTGCGCTCTAACGAACAGCTACCCTAATCGGTCAGTAACTCGGACCTTGGTAATGCGAATCGGACGAGGCATTTTTAGTGACCACTTTAGTAGCCACAGCACTCTTAAGTGATCCCTAGAATCGCCCACAAACGTCCGGAGCATGTCCGTTTCGCGTTACCAATGTCCGTGAAGAAACTAAGTTCGTTGGAGCGAAGTTTCATGTTTGATAAGATGATAACAATCACCTTGAAGCCCTTAAAAGCCGCGGCGCGACTTCACGCGCTGACCTATGAGATGACGTCATCTGAGCGTGACGTCATACCAAAGGACCTCATCACCTCCTGGTTTTCTGAGCTGTTTTGTGAAGAGGTGCGTTTGAAAAATGGAAACTTCTCTGAAATACCTTTTTTCAGAACATGTTGGTATTTCTAAACGGGTTGGAACGACTCGCCTCGGCCGGTCTTCTGACCCAATCGGCCATCGAAGCCATTCCGGTCCTCAAAAAAGTCCTGACCAATGAGAATTTGCACAAGTTGGAGGCTCTTTCTTATCAATTAGGTGAGCAAGTTTTTTTTTTGGCTTACTTCGAAATGAATAAAAAAACGTAAGAATTTTGAACTATGGAGGTTGAGAAAGTACGTTTCAGCACACAATTTTAATCAAGTTAATTATCTGTAGCCCTAATACGCATAAAATTTCATCTCTGACATGAGTTGTAACTGTAGTGTACTCGTAATCCCTTGAGTTAACCCTGACCTCTGAAGCTCGGGGGGAAAACTTCAAACGCGGCAAACTGTTTTCCAATTCGTTTTTATTTATTCTTTTTTGGACTTTGTTTGCGCTATTTCTCTTTCAGTTGAACCAGCTTCTGTTGAAATATTCAATAGCCCTAACCTTGTTTGAATTACCTTTTTTCTTGCTGATTAAAAAGCCCTTGTTGAACAAAATAATTGAAAAAAGAGAATGTCAAACAATGTTGAAAAAAGGCGGTAGGACATTTATTTTGCCTCAATCAAATAAATTTCGCGAAAATCGTTTGTTTTTTTTTTCAAAAAGGTCTTGTCTATAAAGCGCTAAATATCTGGATCTCTTAAAAAATCGCGTTCTCTCAAAGAAAAATATGGTAACATGCTGAAATCTGAAGAATTTTTCTCCGAATGAATTTCATTTATTTTTTCTTTCTTCTATCTACAGTTACTTCAGTAATAGGTCTCCCACTTTCTCAAGAACGCCAGAGGGGTCCTTTGAGGGGAAACATTAGAAGCACTTGAAGGTTCTCTCTAAAAATCCCTTTATCTTCCCTTGTAGACGGCACTGAAGCTTGCAAAAGAGGCCCCTTTAGGGACGTGCTATTCGTATTTTTATCAATTTATAAATCTGAAAGGACAGTTAAAAAGCCCATATTGGGACCACTCAAGATTTAGGGGCTTAGGGGTCAGATCCTTAACCCCTAAAATGACCACCTAAATTTTGCATCTCTAGGAAGTCCTATTTTTTCCCTCTAGGGACCGCTTCGGCGTTCCTAGGTGTCCTATAACTGTTTAAATCTCTAAAATTCATTTTATTTTCAAGGAATGCGAGACGTACTTTGCCATGGCGATCTCTGGCCCCCAAACTTGATGTTTCAGCAGGACGAGAAGGCTAAATTAACATTCAGATGTTTTATCGACTTTCAGGTATAAATAGCCTAAAACAAGCTAAATCAGTAAAAAATCTGGGAAAATTGGCCACTATAGAGGCTCGCCAAGGACTGCTTGGAGGGGACACCAAAATGGCCACTAAACCCACCTCTATAGTCTCTACATAGTGGCCAATTCAGTAGTTTTTTATCCAGTATTCCTTTCATTAACTCTGATAATTTCAAAAAAAAAAAACAGATTGGATCCATCGTCCCCTAAAGTGGCCACAAAAATGTTCAGTGGTCTAGTAGTAGCACTTAGACCTCTATAGTGGCCACTAATTTTTAACCACTTAAGTGGACACTAATTTGGCTACTATAGTGGCTACTTAAACGTCAAAACCCTGTAGTGGCCACTTAAAAATTTCCCAGTATTCTTGGAAATTGCAGACGGCGAATATGGGATGCGCGGCACAGGACATTTGCCGACTATTAGCCACTTCTTTAAGTGGAAAGGTGAATTTTTCACGAGGAAAGTGTGCTCTATGGTTAGGAGGTTGTATTATTCATGAGTCTAATGTCTCAGAAGAAAAAAATTTTTTTAATTTGAAAAAAATATTCACAAAATCACGATTGAATTAATCTTCATAGGGCTCTAAATAGTCAAGAAAATGTAGCTTTTGAAGTGGATCCTTCATTTTTCTTGTATCGACAAGAATATTCAGGACAGAAGAGACAGTTGTGAAAATCTGCTGGCCATTTATTACGATGAGCTAGCCAAAGCTTCACATCCTCATCAACCCCCATTCACCGTTAAACAGGTGATTTTTCCTGAGTATAGTAGATTGAAGATATTTTTTTGAAGACTTTTTATGGAACATTTTTGTTTTTTTCTTGTGATAGAATTTCAGGTTTTTTGGACTATTTCACCGTTCAAATTTTTATTTATTATCTTTATCGTTTCAAAAAGTTCAAAAAAATCGAAAAAGATGACTTCATGGTTTTTTTAAAAAAATCTTTTTTTAGGGTAATGACATTTGAAAAAAATCTTTGAATAAAAAAACAATATTTCAATAGATTTTTGATTTTGACTTGAGTAAATAAATTGAAAATTTCAGGTTCTGATCGAAATTTTTTTGAAAAGTCTCGTGAAATTGAAGAAAGGTCCAAAAAAAGGGCGAAAAGGTTCAAAAAAACTAAATACTTTTTCAGCTCCTCGTCGCCTACCAAACGTACCTGCCATTTGCCTCGGCTGTTTTTTGTCTACCTATTTCTTTGGGTTTTCTTGGCAGGACCCAAAAAATGGAGGACAACGAGTTGAGAGCGCAGGTTCTTTTCATTTTCCAGAAAATAATAACTTTAAATGATTTCCAGATGGCCGAAGTGATGAGCGAAAAGTTCTCAGCGCTTTTGGAAGACGCCGCGACGTTTTGGAACAAATTTGAATGATTTTGCTCGTTCGAAAAGTTGTAAATATTCACTGTACACTTTCTTCATAATGATCTTCCTATTTTCTATTGCGATTTTTAAGATCGTACTTGAACCATTTTTTTCGTGGAAACATGTACCATTTCGTGTCTGAATATTATTCATTTTCTGTTGAAGAAGTAAAAAATGTCCCAATTTTCGAAAATGCTGTATACTCCCTGACCGTAACCTTCTCAGAGAGGAAAAAATCTTCAAAATTCTAAAAATCGAGTCTCAAGAAATCAAAACTTCTAAGTAGGAAAGCTGGTTTCAATATTCTATGCTGGATCCTCGAATGAGTCAATCCGTGAAACTGTCGTTGATCAAGAACGTAGATCATCTCCTTGAGATAGTAGTAGCTGAACGTCAAGCGTTTCGACGACACTTTTGACAGCTGATGAAAATACGGCGTGAAACGTTCAAGTTTTTATTTGAAAGAAACTTTTTTTTCCTTTTTTGAAATCAGAAGATCTTAAAGTGCACTTCAGCAAAATTTGATCGAAGTTTCCACGAGGGGTTTTGTCAATCCATCCCGAATCGAGAGGCGAGGGAGGCGGGACGCGTAGCGTGTGCGTACGCGGTTCTTGGCACGAGTTCAATTAAAGCGCCAGCGACCATTTGGAGAGCTCGTTTATGGCTCTTTTCATTTCTTCTTTATTATTCATTGATTTTTTTCCATTTGTTCATTGCAAAATAGGGGAAAAGACACAAAAAAAGCGATAAACGAGCTCTCCAAGTAGTCGCTGGAAAATTGAATTGAACTCGTGCCAAGAACCGCGTACGCACACGCTACGCGTCTCGCCTCTTGCCTTTCAAGTCGGGATGGATTGACTATATCATTGTGCAAAACCTTCTGGCGCGTTTCAGGTAGTTAAGAAAATTTTACGGGACGTTCAATGAGATCTAACAAGTCTAACTTTGCAAAAATGCAGCATTTTGAGGTGTTTCAACGTTTTTGGCACCTCTTGTTAGGAAATTTCGATGAGATTTTGCTGAAGTGTAATTTAAGACCTCCTAATTTCAAAAAAGAAAATTTTTTTTTTTAATAAAAAATGGTGAGCGCTCTACGCCATTTTCGAATTATTACTTGTCAGAATTTTTCTGATGACTGAATGAATGCCTCTGAATGTCTGTTCCAGGAACCTAATCAAAATTTTTCTTTTCCAGGTGAAGGTTAACATAAAGTAGTGAATATTCAAAGTTCTGCAATACAAAAAACATTTGCTTGCTCACAAGATTAATCGTGAACAGGTGGAAAATAATTTCATTTCAAAATTTCTTATTCTTTCAATTTTCAAAATTCATATATTCCTATCGGTGAATGATCTCGACTGTGCTCGAAACGATTTTCATTCTAATCGGTTATTTGTCAACTTCATTTTCGATATACACTGTTTCGACAAAATCAACTTCGGAAATGCAATTTTATAAGAAATTTCTATTAAAGTTGCTGGTAAAGTTGTCTGATAAAGATAAAATTGAATTATTCGATTCAGTTCTGCGAGTTAATATTCACATCTTCATTGGTGAATCTATTAGCACCGGACTTGTTATATCCGCTACCTGCGGTCGCCGTGAGGAGTCCGATTGGATCGATAAGTGAGAAAATTGCAGCTTTTTCGGTTAGTTTTCGGGGACTATTCAATGTTCAAATGAATCATGTTTAACTGCCTTATTTGGCCGGGGATTCGGAATTTGGTGCGGATAAACACGGAGTAATCGGGGGATACACGTAGGTACCGGGTAGCAACTTGAAAGTCAATTGGCGTATCGTAATCGGTGGTCGTTTGTAAGCGACCGGATACTATCGCAATGGTATCTGGATAGTACCAGGTCGGTATCTGGATGCTACCGGGTAGGTACCTGGAATTCGCGATTGCTATTGGCTGGCACACCGTTTGTTTATAACCAGATTTTTTTTTGAAACCGTTCCAAGTGCTCCAAGATTTTATTGTCTCACGCAGAAACAAAAAATAACCCGGGAAGCAATGCCAGACTGCCCAGAAGCAATCGCGAAAGTCAGGTACCTACCCGGTAGTCTGCAGATACCGACCCGGCACTATCCAGGTACCATAGAGATAGTACCCGGTCGCATAAAAACGACACACACCGATAACCATACGCCAATTGAATTTTTACAAGCTGCGGGTGTGTCCCTACTCGTATCAACCACCCGATTCACCTTTGAAGCACGGTTCGGAAAAGTATTGGCCCATAATCTCCATCTTTAAGCAGGTGTGAAATTTATGATTTGCATTTTTTGAGATAATTTTGAACTGCTTTTGAAGAACATAAAAATCTACAGGGTTGTTTCACCGCTTGCGCCGGTATGACGATATTCACAGCAATCAACGACTGCTGCTTTTTGAGATCTATTCTGGTTTTCCAGAAAAGTCAGGCGATCCAGTTCTTCTTCTCAACAAAGTTTGCTTTTTCATACTGAAAAATTGCAATTTTTGCGAATTTTGGTAACGACTCAAAGCCTTTTTATTATTTTGACTGACAACAACGATTCTCGAAAGATCCCTTTGAATATTTTTAACTGGATCCAAAATTATCACTGATCATTTTCAAAGGCCGAAAATCAGGGAATTCCGTTAGAATTATATGAAAAATCAACGAAAATGTAAAAACTAGAAAAAAAGTCCAAATACAGTTCTATAAAAATTAGAGGTATCCTGGTGATTATTCTGATAAATCTGATATACATGGCTCTCTTAGTCCCGCCGTGTTTATACGCCATCATTCCAAACAAGGTTTTTTTCCTCCACCAAAAATATAATCCTCAGAACTTTTAGGAGTTTCTCGAAGTCGTGAAAAGAGAGAGATGGGAAAAACACCTGGGAGACTATTATTTCGACGATTCAACGGTTTACATCGCGTTCACGTTGGAAACAATGAAGCTTCTGCCCTTATGTATCAAAAAGTTACAAATAAGTCCACAAAATAGAAATTTTCTAGGTATCGTGGTGGTTGGGGGCTTATTTCTATTCCATTTGTGTAATCTTCTATCATCAGCTTCAATTTATATCTATTTGAAAAAGCAACGAAATCATATGTCGGCCAAAAACTTGAGAAATCAACGGAAGTTGACTCATATGTTAGTCTGTCAGGTCAGTTTTAGGCCGGAAAAATTTTTTTTGAAGCTCGTTAGGAAAATGAAAAACAGGCTAGTGAAAACTGTGGAATATAACTGCTAAGAGTTATTTTTTCATAAAGTTATGCGCCTTTGAAATCTAACAAACTTTTCGAGACCCTTTTTTTGGAAATCAATTGACTTTTTAAGCGTTTTGATTAATCCTTAGAAACTCCAGAGTGGTCCCTATAGGGGCAACCATAACGCCCTTGTAGGGTCCCCTCTGATGACCATCTTACCAACCCCTATAGGGACCACTGAAGCTTGCAAAAGTGGTGCCTATAGGGGAAATTCAAGTCGATACATGTTATGAACTTTAAGCGAAGGAACATTTCAATGAGAAAAACTGAATAAATAAACGTTTTCGAATGAAATTGAGAGAACCCTATAGGGTCCACTCGAGCCTTAGGGGCTAAGGGGTCTGACCCTAAACCCCTATAGCGACCACTTTTTTGACACCCATAGGGGTTTTTCCTTAGCCAAGTTCAAAATTGCATTTTTAGAACCCACAGGCTCAAAAATGTCTTTTTTTCTAGAATCTCTACCCAATCTTATCAATATCAGTACCGATAATGGGCACCGCATTTACTTATTTTGCTGGAGTCGCTGTCCCTCCAGAAATTATCCGTCAATTCGTGTCATTTGCTTTTATTTTGTATCCTACGATAAGTTGTGCAATCACGTGGGTTTTTTAATTGAAAAAAAAATCAGAAAAAAAAAAAAATCAAAAATTAACTAAATGTTTCAGCTTGGAAAAACCTTCTAGATTCCTCTTCAAATCAATTTTTCCAGGTTCTACTTCGTTCAGCCCAATCAAACCTTCTTATTATCATTCATCGGGAAAATCCCAATTTTGGGGAAGAGACTGAAAAAATCGACGATTCAAATCGCTTCAGCCGATCCGACAGTAACTGCAGTGATCAAAAAATAAATATTTTCAAAAGAAAAGTGAAAAAAAAACCTCCAATGGATAATATTGCCTTCTCCGGAGGTTACTGTAGAGCTCGCGCCAGGACCATTTTCTTCAAAAATCAGTGATCCTTTGAAAAAATTTCGAATTTTATTAGTATTCTACTGGCATTTTTCTGACCATTTCTTGAACACTAGAGAAGGAAAAAATCAGATTTTATCCAACAAAGTCAACAAAAATTAGTAAAAAATGAGTATATACAGAGAAAAGAACCGTAGGAACATACATGAGGATCAAATTATTACAAGTATCGGGGTCGAAAAGCAAGGAAAATGCCATTTATTTCATGCTCATTGTGCAAATGAGCTCTTTCTTGTGAGCCGGAAGTGACGTCAGTCCTGTGGCATTCGACCAACTACCTTCTCGGACTTTTCCGCGCCATCTTCTAAAGAAAAAAGTTGTATAAATTGAACAATAAATTTTTTTTGAATAGATATAGAAATAGAGCAAGAAGCAACTGAATGGCGGAAACTTTTCAAAGTAAAATCAAATTCTTCCATTTTTCAAGAAAAGTTGATAAAAAACGATCATTTTTGATACGAGAACATATTTTAAAACTTCTCTATAATTCTAAAATAAATTTGTTAAAGAGAGGATAGTGTAGTGAAGCGCACAAAGCCCATAAAAAAAGCTTGAAATGGAAGAAAAATAAAATCTTTTATAAACTTCAAACTATTTTTCGTGCTTCGAAGCGAATTGTTAACGCATGAAAGTCTGAAAAATTTATATAATTTACTTGGATTTTTTTATTTCGTTTTTTTGAATCGTAAATATGATAATAAAAGATTGATGTATTTTTTTCAAAAAAACTTCTTTAAAATAAAGAATTTTTGAACAAAAATAAACTTTTAAAATTTTGGGAATGACTTTGTTTTACAAACCCGTGGCTGATAAGTTTCAAGAAAAGGTTAAGATTGATATTCTTCAACTTTTTCTCAATCGTTGCTCTTCACGTATAGAAAAATTATTAATATTGCTTCAAAAAGCTGGAAAATTTTAAACGATGCCCTACTGACATGAGAGGTCATTTTACTTTGTGCTTGGGAATTCTCTAAAATTCGACCAGAATACTCCTTGATGTACCAGATGAAGATCTTGAACGTCTCAAACTACAGAACTCTCTGGTTTTCGAGAAATAAGGGCTCAAAGCCTCAAAATGGCCTATTTTAACGGATTTTTAGTGTTTTCCTTGACTTTAAGGTGACCTTTCTCAAAAACTAGGAAGTTGTGCAGATTGACACTTTCAGGATCTTCAACTGGTACATCAAGAAGTGTTTTAACCAAGTTTCCGGAAATTCGCAACCGCAAATGACCTCCTTACTGGTGAGGATCTTTTTCAAACCAATTTTGAGATTATTATCTGACTATGAAGTTCATTTTACTTGGCCCATAAAACTGCTGAAAAACTCTCAAGAGGTTTAGAAGAATATCCATGCTACCTCATCCAACTTCTAGTTTTTGAAATATTATTTTTCAAAGTTGCGAAACATGGGTTTTAGGCCTAACTTTTCGACCTTCAAGGTTAATTATCTTGAAAACTGGAAGCTGGGGCGGGCTGCAATTTTGATGGGGCTCTATAGAAAGCTTGAGAGGTTGTTTGAGCAAATTTGTAGAAAATTCCTAGTCGCAAGTTAAAATGACCTTCTTGGGGGGCCTAATTCTGGTTTAAACTTCAAAAAAAAATATCTAAAAAACTGGAGGTTTACACAGGTAGAGACTATGAGGAAATTTCATCTAGACATTCAGAGATTATTTGAGCAATTTTCTTTAGAAAATTCCGAGCCATAAAGTAAAATGACCTTCTCGTGGGGCCTAAATCTGTCTCAAACTTCAAAAGTAAATATCTCAAAAACTGGACTTTTACACAGGTACAGACTATGAGGGATCTTCATCTAGACATTCAGGGAGTGTTTGAACAAAATTTTTAGAAAATTCCGAGCCACAAAGTAAAATGACCTCATTACTGGTGAAGATTTGTTTTTTGGATTATCCTCTGAAAGAAAAAACTATACCTGCAAGCGACCAAAACAGTCTGCTTGTATTTGGCTGAGAAAATGAGGTAGATCAAGAAAGTCGAGGCCGAATTGAAGACGACCAGGTAGTTGGCCCAATCATTCAGCACCGAGAATGTGCCGATCCATTCCTGGAATTCAGAGCGTTTTCTTTGAAAGAAGTTTTCAAGGACATTTTTTTCAAAAATATCTTACCGCTGAGAATTTTGGAAAGACAGATTCCAAAATATTGAGCGAAAAGACCAGAGTGTTACAAATGACGAACGCCGTCGTCACCATCAACAGCATTACCGTCGTTTTTTGTTCTTTCAGTTGCTAGAATGGGATAAATTGAAAAGTGAATCGAATAATGTTGATAAAGTTTTCAAAGTGAAAATTATCAAATTTGATGGTTTTGGTATAGTCTGTGTGCCACAACTTGGAATTTCACCAAACGACATTGCGCTGTTCCGCTGCGTGCGGTCGCGAAGCGTTTCCGCTTTTACGAATCTTTTTTAGTTTTCTCTTTTGTTTCAGTCCTTGATTTTCATGTTTCCCAGTGGAACAGTCTATCTACCAGCGATGATAACCAAGAACAAGCGCTACCGAGGCTCGCAAAGGAAAAAACTCTTCGCGAACGCACGCAGCGGAACAGCGGAATGTCGTTCCGTAAAATTTCAAGTCGTGGCACACTGACTATAAAAATTTTTTTTCACTTTTTTAGAACTTTTTTTGAGCAAAAATTTGACTTACAGCTCGAAAAATGAGGAAAATATTCCAGAAAAAACTCGAAAAAAATGCTGAAAAAAAGCTCTCAAAAAAAGTAAAATTTATTAAATTTGATGGATTAGTAAAAAAAAATGTTACTTTCTCGGACCTTTTTCCTTGTATTACATCCCCTTTAATTCTTAAAATGAGGAAAAAGTTCCGAAAAATCCTTCTCTAAAGATATATATCGTTTTTCAGAGCGTTAAATAAAATCTATTGAGCTATATACATTCAAAAAACGATCCTAAATTGAAAAATGAAATATTTTGCAAAGTCATCTTTTTCTGATATCGTTCAAGTGGAGATTTCTTAACCCTATAAACTAATTTTTAGACTTTTTTTCCATTCTAAAAATTTTTCGTTTTGAAAAAAATGCATTTTGAGTTGGTTTAAAGACAGTGAAGTCGTTCAAAATCTCCTTTTTCCAAACTTTCTCAACGAAACATTGCCAAAAAATGAACCTGAGTTGTCAAAAGTGGACAAGACTTCTTCCTTCTGACAAGGGTAGTGACAATTTGATAATTAGCGATTGTCATGACCGTAAAAGGAAAGATAAAATGGGTGACATTGTAGAGAATCGTGTAGTAGCCAACGTAGTACCATCTGGAAACATTTTCTTCAAAAATTGAATTTAGTTCAGGAGAAAAACTCTCAAAATTCAAACCCGTAACGGATAAGTTTCAAGAAAAGGTTAAGATTGAAATTCTTCAACTTTTTCTCAATCGTTGCTCTTCACGTATAGAAAGATATTATTATTATTATTGCTTCAGAAAGCTGGAAAATTTCAAAGGGCGCCCTACTGACGTGGGAGGTCATTTTTTTGTGGTTGATATTCTCTAAAGTTCGGCCAGAATACTTATTAATGCACCGGAAGAAGAATCTGAACGTCTCAAACTACAAAACTCACTGGTTTTCGAGAAATAAGGGCTCTAAGCCTCAAAATGGGCTATTTTAACGGATTTTTTGCGTTTTCGTAGACTTGGAGGTGTATTTTCTCAAAAACTAGAAAGTTGTGCTGATTGAAACTTTCAGGATCTTCTACTGGTATATCAGTAACCCCTTCAAGTACCACCTCTACGCGGTGATGGGGAGGCAACGCCATTTATGGCGGCTAACGGTACACCGGTCACGCAATTCGGCTTGCTTCTGCTAACAGAATGGGCGGTCTTTTTTAGCCCTGGCAAGGCAAAAAGGATAATAAGACCACAATTATGCTATAACACGTTCAACACCACGGATGGAACTTTTTCGCAAGAATACCAGTCAACCAGGACGACAAAACTGGATGACCGATTGCATAAGATCTCCCGATCAATAAAAGGCACTAAAAGGCAATAAAAGGTCGAAAGCGAAGATGGACCATCTAAGTATCTAAGTAAGTAAGTAAGTATCAGTAAATTTTTTTACCAAGTTTCTGAAAACTTTCAACCGCAAAATAAGATTTTGAAAAATGTTTTCAATGATCATTTATGGACCAAAAAGGTCCACTTTTTTTGAGGAAAAAAATGTTCCAATTTCATGAGAAAATACATTAGAATGCTCAAAAAAATACTTCATTCATTGCAAAAAAAAAAAATGTATTTTTCAAAATTTTCAATCAATAAACATTCTGAAAAATATGAGAATTTTAATAAAAAAATTAATGATTTAGGTACCAAAAAGGTCAATTTTTCAGAAAAGGAATCCTGAAAAAATGAATCGAAAAGGCTTTGAATAAAATTTACTCATCTTTCATCATTAAAAAAATATTTTTCAATCCAGACGCTGAAAACATCATTTTTTTAAAAATATTTTTTTCAAAGTTGTAGAAAAAAATCTATCTAAAAAAATGTTTGAGTCTCGGATTACCCATCACTTTTCACTTTGAAATTATTGAATAATTGTTTTTTGACCTGCTCTTTTCCGGATCTCTGAGCAGTTTCTGGAACGAGACGACGCTCCCGTTCGCCCAACTGAAAAATTAATCAAATTTCTCACGAATCGTCGTTTTTTTTTTTCAAACTCATTCTGTCAGTGTATAGCAATGTATTCAAGCTCGCAGAATTTAATTATGAGTTATGTCTTGGAAAAAAATGCGTAGAAAAACGCATATCATATCAAAAAAAAAACCTAAAAAAGGAGATTTTCCTAAAAGACTAACATCTTTAAAAAAAAAATCATATGCAACAGCTTCTTTCCATTACTTAGACATCCTAAAACTTCGAAAAGCATAATTTTGAGCTTTTTTCAAACTTAAATCCAGTTCAGAACTTCTAGTTCCTAATCAAAACGTACACCAGCTGAAACTCGAAGTATCTTATCGCGTTGTACAAAATCGATACGATAACGATCGTGGCACACATGCGAGCCGAACGGCCGGGTCTGCACCAGGACTTCACCTTGAAAACTTGATAATATTACACAAAGCCTCTATATTATATTGATCGAATGTTTTTTGTAAGTTTTCGTAGTCATCCCAAATCTGCACCCGACCTCATGCGGCTTTCCCACGTCTTATGCTGAAAGATGCCGCTACGCGCAAGTAGTTTATAGTCGGGGGCCGTGAAATGCGCTATGCGACCTCAGAAACAGGTTTCCCTCGTGTTTGGCACTCATCCAAAAATTGTACCCACTTTGTCATTTTTTGAAAAATAAATAATTAAAAAAAAAGAAACCTGAAGAGGCCGACAGACGGCGATCCACCTTTCCGTCGTGATGGCTAACATGAGACACACGCTGCAAGTCTGAGCAATCATGTTCAACGGATAGGCCGTTTTCAGCATGATCGCCGTGTAGATTTGCCAGTCCGGGTCGTTTTGTTGCCTTCAAAAATTATTCTACTGATTATTTTTGATAGGAAACCCTACCAAATAGGCAAAACCGGCACAACAAATGTGAAAACGGACAAAATGAGTAGGACGATGTCGACACAGGTCAGAGCCAACAGAAAGACGCCGATCTGGAAAAATTTTTTTGAATTCCTGGAAAAATCGCTTGGAAGGCTATTTTCTATCTTAAATTGCGCTCTACGGCTAAATCGGACTTTTGAATGTTGAAAAAATCTCTCCCAAGCGTCAAAAATCATATCTTTCTGACATAGATGGTTACAGTATGCCTTCTCAATCGTCTCAGGACCCGTTTTTACCGTAGAACTCATTGGTTACAGTATGCCTCATCAATCGTCACAGGACCCTTTTTCAAATTAGAAATCATTGGTTACAGTATGCCTTTTCAATCGTCTCAGGACCCGTTTTTACAATAGAACCCTTTGGCTACAGTATGCCTTCTCACTCGTGCCAAGACCCTTTTTTACAGTAGAATCCTTCGGCTACAGTATGCCTTACCAATCGTCTCAGGACCTTTTTTTTTACGTTTGAACCCTTTGGCTACAGTATGCCTTTTCAATCGTGCCAGGAACCTTTACATAAACCTTCATTGGTCTTCTAATTTCTTTTTTCTACAAGCCAAAATCAAATAGTTTCGTATAATTTTCCACTTTCCAGAGTGCAAAATTGAACGCATTCCTATATAAAATGTGGGTGGACCAATTATCGTCTTTTAATTACCCAACCAAGGCAATTTTGCCGCCCAAAGTGCGCTCTACGGCTAATGTGTGAAGATGATGTAAGAGAAAATTGAGTTTGAGATAATCTTTGGAACTTTTCAATGAACCGAGTGGTTACAGGGAAATAAAAAAATGTTTACTAGAGGGTAGGAAAAGGGTTGAATTCGCTCTCTCAAACAGACATTTGAGGCTACTAAAGTGGTCCCTTGAGTGGAAATTGTGCTGTTTTAAAAGAAGCTCCGAGAGACCTCTAAAGTGATCCCTTAGGTTTCGTTTTTTAACTATATAGCTGCGAATGGTTTCTTGAAGGATGATGAGCCTTCCAAATTAAGTTTGTCATCTAGTTTCATGAACAAATATGAGTCCTTAAGTGATTATTGAACTTTTTCCAGCTTCTCTTTACTTTTCAATGGCCTTTTCATAGATATTTCATGTCAAAAATCCTCTCAAAGTCGAGACATAAAAAAAGACGAAACGAACCGAGGAACGCATCATGTTCCGTCTCGAAAAAACGAACAACGACATTGTGTTGCCGAAAAGTCCAATGATGACCGTCACGAGAAGCAGAAGGGCGATCGGCCCGAAACCCGTCAGAAGCATCGTCTCACTGTTATATTCTCTGAAAACTCGAGAAAATATGAGCACGAAATGATGAAAATGAGACATTCGATGTCGCAAAACTGTTCAATCACTGTCTCTGAAAATCTGCTATTTTCAAGAGAACAGAAACATTAAAATAATGCAAAAATTGGAAAACTCGACACGGGAGAACTGAAAATCACTAATTGATTTTTTAAAAATCTCCTTTTTCAAGCGAACAGAAGCGTAAAATAATGCGAAAATTGGAAAAATTTAATGCTAAAAAAACTGAAAAAAATCAGGCCTGGATTATCTAAAAAAATCATTTTTAGAAAAAAACTGGAGCATAAAATAACAGAAATGAAACACTCAATGTAAAAAAAAATTCAGAAAAAAAATTCTTTGAAATCCAACGTATTTTTATAAAGAGAAAAAAAGGAATAGGAAAAAAACATATCTAAAAATTTGAAACACGTGAGGAATCATACAAGAAAAAAAGTTGAATTTTAAGTATAAAAAAACCTTTTTGGATTTTTTTATATTTAAGGAGAAAAAGGGACACAGAAATGACGAAAAAAGCAGAAACATTCGATGGAACGCGCAAGAAAAATAATCAACTACAATTAGCAAAACGCACGTGTTCCGAAATAAGCGGCTTGAGAAAATCGTGATTATTATATTTAACTTGAAGTAGCAAAAAAAGGGGTTACAACGTCAAAAGAAAAACTCTTTTTTTCGAGAAAGTTCAAAACGAAAAAAATCGAACTTCTGATCTTGGTTTCTACAACTTACGTATTGAATAATTCAGCTATTGATTTTTGAAAATCGTTTATTGAAACAGGAATCGGCGAGAAAAAAATCCAGAGAAAAATAAATTTAATTCGGAAAGATCTTTGCGATGAAAAATTTAAACAGGAACTTGTCCGTTCTCTGTAGATTTGAAAAAAAATGCTTAAAACATCTAATGCTTAATTTGACTATCTTTTTTCCGGGAAAAGCTTCAAAAAACCAAAAGAAATTAAATGAGAGATTTGGAAAAATCAGGACAAATAGCCCTTCAAAAAGATAAAAATATAAAAAAAAAACCTTCACTTTGTTCAGCATCTTCGAAACTTCTATTGGAAAAATATGCTTGAAAACTTTATTTTCAACCTTTTCCCTTCTTCAAAAGTTAAAGCCTTTCCTCCGAGTTTCAAAAAATAGAAAAAGGAACAAGTGAACTTTCTGACAAAAATATTAAACAACAAGGATTTTCACCTGTCGAATTCGTCACTTCTACTCGAAAAAAAAGGAAACTGAAATTTCAAAGTAAACTTTTTCAAAGTTCTAATTTTGAAACTTCCGGTGAGAATATCATGAAAACAGATTTTTCGAGATAAAAACTTCATGAAAAGTTCAAATTTGATCCGAAAAGTGTTCAAAAAAATTGGCAGAAAATGATTTTTTTGAAGAGTTTCAGGAAGCCAATTGAGCTTGAGACTTCAATTTTTTGCTTTCCTAAAGCACTAAACAACCAAAAAAACTTGGAATCTCATAAAATTTCCATTTCGAAAGACTGAAGACGGGCAATTCTATGACAAAAAAAGCCCCATTTTCAGAAAAAATTGAAATAGAAAAAAACACCAAAATGCGTTAGAAAAAAATTAATAATTTCAATACTAGAAAGAAAAAAATTATTATAATCGCTGGCAGATAATCTCGACACCTCCAAGAATGAACGGCGGAAAAAGCGGATCAAATGGTGAATTTTTTCCCGGAAAATAGACGAATTTTCGCTTATTTTCAAAGAAAAAGTACAAATTGAATTGGCTAGGATTTAAAAAGTACTTGAAAATGAATGGAGAATGATGTTTTTTTCAGAAAAAAATTTTTGAATCATTATATCAGAGGGATGAATTTTCTACTTTTCTATTGCAGTTTCGATTGTTTTTGAGCTTAGGCAATATTTAAATTCACATAAAATCCTGAAAAATTGAGAAAAAATCTCAAGAAAGGTCCTTAAAAGTTTAAACCCCTTAAAAATAGAAAGAACTTTAGAAGAAGACGCTGAAAAGCTTTCCCAGAACCTCATCAGTTATAAGTTCCAATTAAAGATTCAAGAAAGGTCGAGAATCGCTCAAAACGTTCAAAAATCTTTAAAAAGGCCGTTTTCAAAACTTTCCACCTGAAAAAAATAAGTGAAAGAAGCTCAAAAAAAGTGATAAAAAAATCGTTTGTTTTTTTGGTTTTTTCCAGAACCAGTTGATAAATTCTATTAGAAGATTCAAAAAAATGTCAGGTTTTGTTCAAAAAGTTCGAAAATTCTCGAAAAAGTCAGTTTTTCAAGTTTCTCCGAAATTCATTCTTGAAATATTGTGCAAATTTTGAGTGGCCACTATAGGGTTTCGTCGTTTTAGTGACCACTATCGTAGTCAAATTAGTGGCCACTTAAGGGGTTAAAAATTAGTGGCCACTATAGAGGTCTAAGTGCTACTACTAGACCACTAAAAATTTTAGTGGCCACTTGAGGGGTCAATGGATCAAAATAACTGGTCCAATCTGTTTGTTTTAAAATTAGCAGAGTTGCTGGAAGGAATACTGGATGAAAAACTACTGAAGTGGCCACTAAAACGGAAAATAATGTTCACTATAGAGGTGAGTTTAGTGGCCACTTTAGTGTCCTCTCCAAGTAGCCCTTGGCGAGCCTCTACTTCCCAGTATAGAGAAATACTAAAACTCATAGAAATTGACTTCTACGGTCCTTCTAAAGGAAACCATGAGAGAGATCCATTTTTCCAAAACCCCAAAAACCAGGAAATCCTTTCCTAGCCCTAAAAATAAACCAGGAATTGTCCAAGAGGAGGCGCTAAAAAGGGAAACCGGGATATAAACTAGAAGGTATTCATCGCCCTTTTTTTCTCCTCCAAGCGCTATTTTCCCCCCGACATTTCGAGATCTCCCACACAGATACCAAAGAGCGTCATTTTTTTTCTGAACGCAACGCCCTGGAATTAATTAAATGCGGAAATTGGCCGGGGGAATCGAGCTCGGAAAGCGGAGAAAATGTTTACTCATAGTCCAATGTTTCTACAAACAGCTTGGAACAAGATCAAAGAAATGCCGTGGGAAAAAAAAGGTTCAGGTTTTCATTTTAAGCTAAATTTCCGGTTTTTCGTAGAAAAAATGGAAAGGAAAATAGGGTAGGCTTCAGAAATTCAATTGACTTTTTCGGTACTTACAAGAGAGGTAATTTTACTTTGCGGTTAGGAATTTCCTGAAAATTGGCCAGAACACTTCTTGATGTACCAGATAAAGATCCTAAACGTCTCAAACTACAGAACTCTCTGGTTTTCGAGAAATAAGAGCTCAAAGTCTCAAAATGGCCCATTTTATAAGATTTTTAGTGTTTTCTTTGACTTGGAGGTGGCCTTTCTCAAAATCTAGAAAGTTGTGCTGATTGAAACTTGCAGGATCTTCATCTGGTACATCAAGAAGTGTTCTGGCCAAATTTCAGGCAATCCCCAACCTCAAAGTAAAATGACCTCTCTTGTTAGAGATTTCAGGAAGTTTAAGAGGTTTTTAAATTAGCTTTTTTTAAACCATGATTCTACTTTTATTACTTAAGAAAATTGGATTTTCAGACTCGGAAGTTTCAAGATCAAACCAGGAAAGGAAAATTGAACTTTTACACTTGGGCCGCTCATTACTAGATTAATCATAAATTCCTCAGTAGGAAGTGGAAAAAAAAGTCTGAAACACTGAAAACAGGAATAAAATATGAATGTGGGAGATCGTCTGTTTTCGTTTAAAATCAGACATCTGCGTTTTTCGAACGACGTTTAATCAGGTGGAATTTTAGAAAAAAGGACTTTCTGAGGAATTCAAGAAAAATTCTGCCTTTTGTTTCACGAAAAAACTTTCGAAGAGCAAAATTATCAAATCATGAAAATGGATCCGAGTCGGAAAAAAAAAATAAAAAGAAAAAAATTCAAAAAGCTTAAAAAGTGAATTTTCTACTCATAGTTTGAGCTTTGAAGACTCAAAAAAATTGAAAACTTTTAAAATGCGCATAGATTTCAAAAAGGGAAGATTCAAGTACACGCGATAGTGTAATAAGCTTCAAAGTTCACTCATTTTAAATTTAACCTTGAAAAATACCCCGGAAATCACTTATTTCTAGAGCTAACTTCAACAAAAACACAAATATTTGGGCGTGGAAAATTCTGAAAATTGTAAAATAACTTTTCAGAGAGTCTGACCTTTAAAATTCCCAGAACCAGCTTTTTTTGCCGGAAATTACTTCTTTCTGGGCTTTGAAATGAATGATTCACATATTTTCGTTCTCCCCAAGATCATCAAGTATAGAGATCGAAAAGCTCACAGATTACCCAAATCTTGATACATACGTTCTCATAAGTATATATGTTGGTGAGAACAGGATTAAGGATCAAATCTGCAACAAGAAAGAAAAAAAAGAATAATCTAAAAAAGGAATATTCATGTGGCCGTGTATTTATTTGTACACGGATGATGTGTATGGGGGAAATAAAGCTTGAATATTTATCGGGGTTATTCACAAACTATAATCCACCTAGGAACGCCTTGGAAAAACTTTCAAAGGCGCAGAAAAGTTCGTCCTTAATAACACATTTTTCGCAGTAAGACTCGAGCAAATGAGAGATGTTTGTTCTTTTGAAAAGGAACTTAAAGGCGCAGGACGGAGTCTAACTACAATCGTTTCAAAATTCACTTTTCTAGTCAAAATTTGAGCAGAAACCAAGATTCTCCCGATTTTTCAGAACTCAGTTGAAGAGTTTAAAGGCGCAGGGCGGAGCCTACATCATGTGAAATGTTTAAAAACCTTTATTTTGCGAGAAGGGGTCTGAAATCCGAATAAAATGCATTATCCAGCCGTAAATTCGAGCGAAAATCGCCAAAAAGAGAAATCTTAAAGGCGCAGGGCGGAGCCCAAAAATATCCGTTCTGCGCCTTTAAATCAAGATCTGACCAATCCACGGATAGACTAAAGCCCCACCGAAAAT